GTTTTGTTCCTTCGTCTGAGAATTTTAACCTTTTACATTAAGCCATTAACTCTCTTAAATTTAATGTAATTGTTGACAAATTTGGGTTTAATTTTGTCATCTTTTGTTTCCCTGTTGTCTTAATTTTTATTTTTATTTCATTGTCTTCTATTTAACATGCTATTTATACTTTATTATTTTAGGTGTTATAGATGATAGAATATATACATGGCTTAAGTCAACTTTTTAAAAAACTTCATTTTGAAAGAATTAGAGATTTGTAGGGTTTTTTTTTTTTTTTTTTATAGTACTGGGGATAGAGCTCAGGGACTTGCACATCCTAGGTAGAAAGCTCTCCCCATAGCCCAGAAATCCTGAATGTAGTAGAGAGAGGTCCTGTTGGTGTGTCGCCAAGTTTCTCCCAGTGGTTGTATCTCACTAATATAATAAAATGTTCAAACCTGGAAACTTGTTATAGGTACATTGTGTATCAATTTTGAAATTTGTGTCATTATTTCCACTAATAGATATTTGTGTAGCTATCACCATAATCAAAACCAGGTAGACCTTATCATCACAAAGGTCTCTCACATTCTACTCCTGTCCTACCCAGTTTCCTCCTGTACCATCTCTAACCCTGAGCAGCGTTTATAATCTCTTTTTTATCTTTATAATTTTGTCATTTCAATAATATTACAAAAATAAAACATTTGAAAAAAAAAAAGAGAACATTTTGAACTTGGCTTTTTTTCCACACAGCTTAATGCTCTGGTCCATTTGAGTTGTGCATGTTAGCATTCCTTTTGTTTTTATTGCCAAGTTGTATTCTGTGGTGTGGACATACCTATTCAAAGACATTTTATTTTTTCCAGTTTATTTACTTTTTGGTTTATAGATAAAGCTGCTCTGTGAATAATTCTTTACAGATCTGTGTAGTCACAGGTTTTTATTTCTCTCTGACAAATATTCAGGATATTAGTAAATGCATATGTAATTTTCAGGAACTACCGAACTGTTTTTCAGTGGTACTGTATAGTTTTACATTCCTGTATGAACAGTCCACTTTCTCACATCCTCACTATTCATCGAGCTGTATAGTGTAGACCTTTATGCTTTTAATTTACATTTCTTTAACAGCCAATGGTAATGAACATCTTTTATGTGCTTATTTGCCATTGATATATCTTTTTTGGTGATGTTTCTCTGTATTTGGCCATTTTCTTATGAGATTTTATTAAAACAGTACAGTGTTCAAATATATTTTACATGTAAGTCCTGTGTCACATAATATGTGTCCTTAATCGATTTGATCCTGCTTTAGTTAGTACAGTTACCCCTTTCTGGAAGATTCAAGAAACTTAGACTACTTCAGCCTTATTGTTACCACTCTTGCCTTTTGTGAAACTATATTACTCTGTTTCCATACATATATTTAAAACTTCACAGTTAAGATTATTTACAGTTTTCAACAAATCCTGCTGATTTCACTCAAATTTTAAACCCTTTTTGTACTTACAGTCTTTCCTGCATTTAGGGTCTTCAATCAGACAATTTTCTTTCTGTATAAGAATTTGCATTACTGTTTTGTATAGATCTGAGCCAACAGTGTGTGTGTGTGTGTGTGTGTGTGTGTGTGTGTATGTGAAGATGTGTGTGTGTGTGTGTGTGTGTGTGTGTGTGTGTGTGTGTGTGTGTGTGTGTGTGTGTGTGTGTGTGTGTGTGTGTGTGTGTTGCTATGCTTGTTATTATTTTAAATTCATCCTGTTAGCTTCTGGCTGGTGTGGTTCTGCCTGAAAAGTCAACGGTTTCTCTTCTTTGAGGAAAGTGCCTTTTTGTTCTTGTGCTTTCAAGAGTTTTCTCTCTGTCTGGGACCTCAGCTGTTTGTATGTTGCACTGTGGTGGTCAGCTCTAAAATGAACACCAATAATCCCTGCCTGCTTATGCTTCCATGTAATCCTTCTTCACTGTGCACTGGACTTACTACTTTGCTATGTATCGATACAGTAGGGCAGAACTGTTAGTGTCTTTTCGATATCATTAGTTTTTAAATAATGACATGAAATTATTTATAGAAATAAAGAGAATTTTGTTTTCTTGGGATGCGTTACAGAAGCGCAGTTACAGTTCCAGGTAACTTGCTAGGTAAAAAATACTGTCCACCTCTCCTGTAAGGTACCAAGTGTCCAGTATCTAAACCCTAGATACTGTACTCTGGCTTACATACCTCTGCAGCTCTGATTGCTATAGGTACATTTGCCAAAAGTTGTTTTTGAAGTTATTTATACTTTTTATATTTACATTATCATTTTATGATGATATAAAATTTGACTTTTTCTATAAAACACAAAATTTAAAAACTATATAGGTGAACTAATAAAGCACATATAGGTGAATTAATTTTTTTGACCAAATTGAAAATATTTCTTCCGTGAAATTGTTTTTTGAAGTGTTCAAATCAGTGCTTGAACTTGAAGAGCTAAAATAAGCAGTATACCGCAAGTGTGCTTTATGTATCAGGATGGTAAAGTCTTCCAATTTTTGGACTTGTATTAAAGATGATCTTATCCACATATCAAGGTATTTATGGATTATACAGATATTTTAAATTAAAAATAAGGCAGTTAGGTTATATATTTGTTATATGTTATACTTCCTGCTTTAACCTTTTAGAGTAACTCACTTATTAGTTCTAATTGCGTTTTGTAAGAGAGTCTTATCTATACATCTGAATTCTGAGATGGTACTGTGACCTGACCTTCTACACTGAATCTGAAGCTTTTAGAATGATACTTTATAGAACTTCATTCAAGTTATCTTTCAAGTAATAGCACTAGTTAAAATCTATAAATTAATACATGTTTATCAGTGCATAAAAGCGCTTTCTAGATGTACTTAGCAGAAGTTGAAGAGAATAGATGGTTATATGGTGATCTTGCCCATTTACTAGCTACTTCCACAAATCATGCAGACATCTGTGTGCAAGAATCACCAGGTATTTGTGTTTTCTTCTGTTTGTTTCATATTCTATAAAGCAAGGATGGGAGTCAAATTCTTTCTATTAAACATTTATAATTCTCTGTACAGATTTATCAAAGCATTGGAGATTCTTGTTTCTAAGAGAATGTAGTTCAGAAGAAGCATTATAGTAAACAGTTATAACAAATGAAATCAAAACATAATTTGGTGCTTTTTCTTGTGAGTCTAAATTTTTGAGTTTACAAACAAGACTTGATGGCATAAATTGTTTTTGTATATATTATCCATTTTAAATAGGCAACAATTGTCTTCATATTTATATAAGTTTCAAGGAAATTGAAATAATTGGCATTCTTCAAACTTTTAATAAATTAAGAAAAGATAATTGATATTACTTATACATGAGTCTCATATTGTAATCTTGTGTTTTTTCTGCTCCTATTAACTTTATTCTTGGAGTGCCTTCACACCTAGTCTTTCATAGTATCAGAATTTCCACTTCAGCAGTTAATTTCTTATAGACTATCTATTCTTGGAGTGTAATTTGTTCATTCTGGCTTACCACAGTAGAAGTCCAAATATTTTTTCCTATGCAAGCATACCATAGGCATTAGGTCTTGGTGTGTGGAATCTTCAGCCTGTCACAAATTTCATTCTACCATCTGCTTCAACCTGAGCTGTGTATCTTGTGCTGGCAGACTGCTAGAGTTGCCATGGCTCGGGATAAAAAAAAGTTAATCTTGGCATGGGAAGCTTGCTTTTGAAAAAGAAAATAATTGATCATGCCTGCTGTAGATTTTAAAATAAGCATTTGAGAGGATTTCCAAAAGTCTCTACTTAACACATTGATCATTTTTATCGTGATTATAGATCCCCAATATAATTATTGAATTATTGGTATATTTGATGACTTATTGAATTTTCTGATTAGTTTTTAAGGATAGGTAACAAATGAATATACATGGATTAGTGACATACTGTAAAAAATTTTGATATCTCTGTCAATGGAGAGCCTTTATTTCATATCTTATTTCCAAAAGTGATTTTTCAAATGACTATATGCTTGTATGTAATACACAGATGAAAGAGACACCATAATAAAAAATTTAGGTGACAAACTACTTACCAGGTGCATGACTGTGTATAGTTTCATTTTCTGCAAAGCAGAGATAATGATATTTAAAAAGTTATTTGGGAGATTGGATCAGAATATGTCCTTAAAAATGGACAAATGAATGTTTATTCTGCAAAGGGCTTTTGATGGCCAACTCTGCAAGGCATTTTTCTAGATAATGGTGACCTCATAGAAAATAAATTGTCAAGTTCTTCTGCTACAAAATTTTGCTTTCTAGCTTGCTTCCAATAACTGAGGTGGAAACTCCATGACAACGGGTACGGTACGTGGTGATAAGTGCTGTGCAGGAGGGCAGGGTCAGCTTGTACAGCACAGTGGTGGTGCTGTGTTGAATCAGGTTGGCAGGGAGGGCTTTTCTGAGACAAGATTGAGCATACCTGAATGGAAGGAAGAAGTAAAGAAGGGGATATTTGGGCCAGACTGTGCCTGGATGTTGGAATGAGAAGTTTGACTGTTCATTGTAGCTGGAGCTAAGTGGGGAGGAACAGAGTGCTAGGCAAAGAGGTCAGAATGATCCTGTAACCTCATTGATTTAATCTTTGTGATGCATAATTGTAGATAAAATGTCATTCCTGACACCCTTCAGAAATATGAAATTAAGATAGACTTAGTGTTTTATTAGTTACAAGTCATAGCTTTAACTTGGAGTTCTTTATATAACAAGTACACACAAACAATCCTTTGTTGTTACTATTTATGTCATTGTCCTTGGACTTCCAGCTCTGCTCACGCTTCTGGCAACTGTTTCATGGAGTTGAGGTTCAGTGACCAAGTTTAAGGGTAAAGTAGCTACAAGATCATCCTCTTTTAACCCCCCTTGCAAGTTTGGGGGGTTCCTGAACCCACCTCTGATAATGTGTTGATTCACTGGATCAGACATTACTATGGTTAATTTCTCTATTACTCTTAGGTAAACATTGCAGCTTCAGCAACTTCAAATGTTGAGTATGCCCACATTCCTCATGTCAAATCCTCTGTGATTCCTACTCTGCAAAATGAATCATTTCTGCTATCCTCAAATAGTGGGAATCAAGAGGCACTTACAGGTTCTTGTACTCCACACCCCGATGGGAAACCTCCTGGTGATGAATTTGATCACTTGATCAAAAATATGGCTCAGGTACGAACATTTCTTCTTGTTATTATGATAAAATACTACACAATCCTGGATAATATAGTGACATTTATAACATTTGAAAAGTTTGAAATGAAAAGTTTTTTTGTCAGAGATTGGTGGTTGAGAGGTTTTTTTATTAGATTTTTCTTTTTTAATTATCATATTTTAAATTCAGTATAACATGTTGTGTTCCAGAAATATATAGGGAAAATAAATGTCCTGTATCTAGCTGATACGTAAAAATTATCTTAGAAATGTTTTTCAGTTTCTTACTTTGTTACTGTAAACAAGTAATGCCAGTAGTGAGAGGACTGTACTATAGCAATCAGCTCTTAGTTTTACTTTTTGCTTTGTTTCCTGCACAGGGTCGCCATGTTGAAGTCTTCGAGCTCCTCAAACCTTCACGTGGAGGCCTTGGGTTTAGTGTTGTGGGGCTCAGGAGTGCAAACCGGGGAGAGCTGGGAATCTTTGTGCAGGAAATACAGGAGGGCAGTGTGGCTCACAGGTGAGGTGGCCACAGCATCTTCTCTGCTTTCTGTGTCACATTCAGAAGTTTTGATCACCACAGGGAAATTCAAAAAGAAGCAAAAATGAATGAAAACGAAAACATGTATTAACCAGTTTTTAGAAGACATTCACATTGTTGTGATAAAAAGCAAGTCCTTTGAAATGAAAGTAGCTCTCAAAAAGTTTAACTATTTTTTAATGAGGAAAAATAATTGATTAGAATATTTTGATTGCGATAAAATGACCTCTCTTATTTGACTTTAAAGATTACTATGTTAGAAGCGACTCTATTTATACTCCAAGCAAGGATTCATATATACTTTCATTTTTAAAGAATAAGACCATGTGAAATACAATGAATATATTTAGTGGATAGTTACAAAGAAAAAAACAAGCCTTGTAAGTGGAGGATTGAGTAAAGATAGCAGTTGAATTACCTTAGCATATGTGTTTAAAGGTAGAAGTGCAGGAAAAAGCTTCAAAAATGACGAAGTTTACAAACAATATTGAGTAATCTGGATGCACACGCCAAGAAAGCTGTCTTTGCCTTGAGAGCTGCCACATAACTCTCTTCACCCCATTTTCATCCTTGGTAGAGATGGAAGACTGAAGGAAACTGACCAGATCCTTGCCATCAATGGACAGGTGCTGGACCAGACGATTACACATCAGCAGGCGGTCAGCATCCTGCAGAAAGCCAAAGATGCTGTGCAGCTGGTCATCGCCAGGGGCAGCCCCAGCGTGTCCCGCTCCCCATCTGCAGCCAGTACCATCTCAGCACATTCCAACCCCGTGAGTGCCTGCACTTTCAAGAAGAACAGAAGACACTTTTTCTAGTTCTCTTTCCTTGTTTCCATGTTTTTAATCTCTGTAGGTGCTTCTGGAATTTTTGGCTTTTTATTCTATTAGCTTTGCCCAACCTAGAGTACTTGTTGTTTAATTATGATTACATTTATAGCCTCTAAAACAGTGTACTTTCTCTGTGTAGTATTTTGGCAGTATTTCTCAAAAGAGTAGATCTCTTAACAAAATTAAAATTATATTTATCTGTAGATAAATACAATTTTGACTTTGCTTTGTAAATGATAAATTATTTTGTTACAGTTAGTTTCCAGTGACTTTGAAGTCATCTAATTTATACTCTTTCCTTGAGGCAGGATTAGGCAGAAGACATCTTTGACACATGACCATTTTCTTCCCTTGATCTTTTAGCCTTTCTTTTTTAAAAGTTGTATAAAAAATCTTGCAAATATATAAAAAGCAATGTATTGATGATCTTAAGAGGGATTATATCATTAGGAGTAATCATCTATTGAAAGAGAAATATACAAAATGCAAGGGATTCATTCTTTGGTGCTTATTAGCATGTCTGGATTCAATTACTTAATACCAATGAAATAATTATTACAATATCTGCTGTAATATAACATTTCAGTGTTTATAGAATTCTACAGCTTCACATGGGAGCTTTGTTTTTAGGTCCACTGGCAGCATGTAGAAACTATTGAACTGGTGAACGATGGGTCTGGTCTGGGATTTGGCATCATCGGAGGAAAGGCAACCGGAGTGATTGTCAAAACCATTCTGCCTGGCGGGGTTGCTGATCAGGTGAGCCAAGCCAGTCAGTTTTTAATGCTGTTTTACCCAGTAAGATGGCTTTACCTTTTCTGCTTTCTGTTAGGAAAGTGAGACCTTGAACGCAGATAAGGGCAAAGAAACTGAGGCAGGATCTTTTTTTTTTAATTGGACTGTTCTTGTAGAACTGGGAGGGGAATACTTTCGAAAAGGGATGTTGACCCTAAGTTACAGTTACAGACAAATAGTGCTCTTTAGAACCACAGACTAAGCCGAAACCAAGGTGATGGTCTTGATTATTGTAGAGGTAGCTGCAATTGTTTTATGCTCATATCTTTGAAGCCTGCTCACCTGTTTTATAATCACCAGATACTATGAAGAAATTGTTAAAGGGAAAGAACAGAGCTCAATTTGTCCTTTTAATGAAGGGTTACAGGTATCATCTTTGTATATGACCTGTAGCCTATTTTTATCACTTAGAATAGTTCATTGTGGGCCAGGGATTTAGCTCAATAGTTCCACTGCCTGACTCTCAAGCTCAAGGTCCCAAGTTCGATCCCTGGTACCAAAAAAAAAGAAAGAATAGTGCATTGAAGAATTGTCATTTAAGATACATATGTTTAGGATATGTGTGAAAATGTTTCATACATTTATTAGTTATGATTCATGTTTTATATTGGAAAGTTCTGCTAGTTTAACTGTTGTCTTCATTATAACATTTTATTTCTAAAGCTACTTTTTTACATGTGCACTTGAACTTCAGTTTCAAACTTGGAATCGAACGTCTCATTCATAAATGAAAGGCTCATTAATGGCAACCTTTTCAGTAGCGGCATTAACAGTAACGCAGTAGTTTGCAAATTTTTCTCCTTTCACATATCAAAGGGACATTGATAAGCTTGAGAAAGAACTCTTATCTGTTTGTGTTTTATCTTCTGTATAGCACTACACTCTCCCAATACCGCTAAATTGGGTATAAATTAATTAAAATTAAATGAAATTAAAAATTTAGTTCCTTGCTTTGACTAGCCACAATTCAAATGTCCTACAGCCGGATGTCATTAGTAACTGCTGTGTTGGAACAACTCCATTATTGCAGAAAGTTTTGTTACAGTATTTGTAGAGCCTTATAAGACTGCTTTTCACTTATCTATCTGAATTTTCACCTCACTAGGATTTCATCTGCTAATGCAGATGTTCGGAATACTTATAATAGCCGGGTAGAAAAGCATGGATTAAGGCAATATTATGTTGTAGATAGCAACACATTTTAACCACTGTGTATTTTTTTCTCATTGAGTTTATTGTTACATTAAAGGTATACAGTACAGTTACATTCATCATTCGGATCTTGTACCTTTAATGACAAGTTTTGGTTCTCCTTTTTTCCCCTTGTTCCTACCCTCCCTCACCCCCTACTCCCCTTCCCCTTTACAAACATTTTATTTCTGTTTTTTTTTTTTTAATTTTCTCCTATTTTTTTTCTTTCCCTTATTACCTTTCTCCTACCCTTCCCACTTTCCCTACACCTTTAGCCTTTTTTTTTTCCCATTTCACATTGTCAATTACATAATTAGGATCTTATGTACTATTACAGTTTTTCACACCAGAGAAACTATTCGGTATTTACACGTGTGACTTATTATTTCACTTAGGAGTATATCCTCAATATGTATCCATTTTCCTATGAATGAATCTAATTTCTCATTCTTTATGGCTGAGTAGTATTCCATTTTATAGAAAAACCACATCTTTTTTATCCAGTTTCCAACTGATGGGCAAATGGGCTGTTTCTAAATTTTAGCCATTACAAACTGTGCTGCTATAAACATAGGTGTGTATATATCACTGTAATATGATTTTTAAAATTCTTTTGGAAGGGTACCCAGCAGAGGGATGGCTGGATCAAGTGGAACCTCTAGTCCAGGTTCTCTGAGGCATCTCTATATTGATTGCCATAGTGGTTGCACCAGTCTGCACTCCCACCAACAATGGAGAAGGGTTCCTTTCTCCCCACAACCCCTCCAACATTTGTTATTGGTTGATTTCTTGATTTCTTTGTGGCGTGAGGTGGCATCTCCGTGTTGTTTTCATCTGCATCTCTGGAATGACCAATGATGTGGAACCTTTTTTCATATATTTACTTGCTGCTTTTACTTCTTTGTCTGAGAAATGTCTGTTCATTTCAGATTCCAAAATGGGCATCTGAAATGAACTACTGTGTATTTTATTTGCATGGTGACTTTAGCTTTGCTTAATAACCTTTTTTGCTCTCTGGCTCTCAAAAACAGTCATAAAACTTTTTCTTGCATTTAGTAGATATAAATCAAAATTAAAGTTCCTCTCAGCTAATTTAAGGAGTGTTTGTTAATTTCATTTTTTTTTATATTACACTGGATAATGCTAGAATGGTTTTGGAGGCAGCTGATACTGTAATTACATATTTAATGTCCCATGATTGCCACAGCAGCATATTAGTGCCACCTTTTATTATTTCTTTTCCCTCACTTAGGACTTCTCTAATGCAGTTACAAGAACAGTAACCTAACTATTTAGCCTCTTTTTTATGTAGCATGGACGATTATGCAGTGGAGACCACATTCTAAAGATTGGTGACACTGATTTGGCGGGAATGAGCAGTGAGCAAGTAGCACAAGTCTTGAGGCAGTGTGGAAATAGGGTTAAGTTGATGATTGCAAGAGGTGCCATTGAAGAACCTGCAACACCCACCTCTTTGGCAATCACCCTCTCCTCCTCTTCTACACCAGAGATGCGGGTAAGTAGGTAGAACAAGTATTGTGAAAGTCATGGAAAACAACACTGAGATGATGGCGACATTTATCTTAAAATTAGACTTGTTCATATATTAGTGTTAGTGAACAAAATCAAATATATGGATGCTTCAGCACTAATAATATCTTACTAATCTCGAATAATATATACAAATGAATTACAGGTTGCTTAAAAATGCTAGATAATGTTACATTTTCCTCGAAGCTCATTTATGAGGTTAAGATTTTGAAATATGGATAATATTTTACTAATAATTGTTTGTTATTCATACCTAAAGTGCTTAATTATATTTTTTCTCATAATTAGAAAGCTTTCCATAAGGTCATAGTTCTAATCATTCCCTTTTAACAATTTTCTTTTTAGTCTTTTTGTTTTTGTTCCTATGTGTAAAGGTTGGAGAGGGGCAGCAGGCTTAATAGGAGTAAATTCAGCTTAAAAACCTGTCATTTTTTGTTTGTTTTGTTTTTTGTTATTCCTAGAGCTATGATCAGATCTGTATAAATTGTCAATATTCTTGACACAGTTATAATTTTTTAATATCAAAGCTGTGTTTCAGGTATTATAATAAAAGTTTTATTCGTAAGTATAGCTTTCTGTCTTTGTTCTTGACTTGATATGAAAATGGTGGAAAATTTCAAAATTATTTTAAGTTATTAGCTGTCTCACCTGGTTTACAGATCACAAGACTGTTGTGCATAGTATTAGTATAATAATTATATCCAAAAACCTTGGGACTATTTAAGAAGAGAATTTGACTCAATTTTTTGATAAACTTTATACAAACACAAGTCCCATATACCTCTCATATAGATGCAAAAATTTTTTTTCTATTAAAGTTGTTTTTAATCAGTTGCTACAACTTTAAAAGAAAATCTTCTAACCTCCTCCACTAGCCCTTTAAAATTTTATTAGAACACTTGAAATTTCCATGATTCTGTTATTTTTGGAATTGAATTTGCTTGCTATTCTTTGCAAAAAGAAGAAAGAAATGTTGTTTATGCAAGTGTTTAAATGGCATTCTTTTGTGGTAAACAAAACATTTTATTCAGCAATATATAAATGAATGCAATACCGAAAACCACTTGATGTAATTGAAAGCTTAGAAAAATATCTATTCTGTGCATTTCATCATTTCTGAAGCTTGTGCCCCTTTTAAAACCATTCGATAGTCAAATTGCCACCCTCTAAAATAGCACTCGCATAAGTCTTATTAAAAATAGAAAACACATTTGTTTCAATTGAAGCAGATTTTATCCTGTCATTTTCTTGTAATTATCTAAACTTTAAACTTTTGCTAAGTTTGCACAGATAATTATGTGCAATGAAAAATAAATCAAACTTTACTGTAAAATTGTAACTCATTTAGGTGGAACATCAGATATCAGATAATACTCAAGTTTGTTGAAAGAAAACAGAAAATGTTTCTACCTCACTACAAACTCGGTACTTTAGAACTCATTAGCCTTGATTTTGGCATGTTCTTCTTAGGGTTCTCTATAGAACCTACTGATTTCACCCTAATGATTAGTACCAGTAGCTTATTGATAACATGCTGTGCCGGTTCACGAATGCTTCATTTAGGGACTTTTTCTCTATGTAATTAATAACGCTACCTGTTAGAAAGAGCTGACATTTGAGAAACTCCCTTGCTGCTATCATTCCAGCAAAAAGAGGACACTAATGGAGAAAGACATACTTTTCTTATGAATAGCTTTTCACAGTGAAGTCTGAATTCACAAAACAAATAAAGGGCAGCTTAGAATATTTCCTTAATGCATTCTGCTGCTTTTCAGAATAATACATCAGTCTGTTTATAACAAACCTGCAGGATTAACTCATACTAATGGTACTACAATAAACTATAAATGTAAGATAAAATGTCAAGTAGTCTTTACATACCATATCTCCTTTAAAAGAAGAGACTCTACAACCCAACCACTTAGATTTGAATTCTACTGCTTTTTTTTTTAGCTCTTTCTCCTTAGAAAAGTTTATATAACTCAACTTCCCAAGATAGTGACAGATATAAATTGCTTCTCAGCCTTTTCACTAAGATCCAGTGTAGTAGATGTTCTCACCAGTTTAGTATCTGATACATTCTGTATCCGAGGACAGTATATGGAGTAGAGTTTTGGAGCTGGGACATGGAACTGGGGCTTGCTCTGTCCGCTGCATAAATTGAGTTCGTATTGTAGTGCCTCCAGGAATGGTGCTCTTCCTTAGGGGAGCAATGAAAGAAATCAGTAAGACACTGTGCCTACCTCATTGGCTTGTTCGGAACCTAAAGCATCAGTACGTTGTTATGAGAATAAGAGATTAAAGCATTTCATGTGCCTTGTATGTAAGAATGACTCAATAAATGGTAGCTGAACTGGTTGTTTTTATTCTTCTGATATTTGTGCAGAAATGCTTAACACAAGTAAGTGGCAAAGCTAGATTTGGACTTGTTGATTTGAATTCAAAACATGAGTTCTTGCAGTGACAACATCCTAAGTCCTTCAGAAATTAAGATAAACCAACCCTGAAAATAATGCAATAAGAAAATAATTAGTTTTTGAAACATTGGGTATGCAAACAATAATGTATCCCTCCTGTAAAGGGAAGTCCAGCCTTGTTGTTGACATTCCGAGTAGAAGTGGGAAGCTCAGTCTGTGTTGCTACCACTGAAGAAGACTCTTGGCTGTAATTCAGTTCTCTCACACCTTATTTTGTCACGTCATTACTCTTTTTTTTTTTTTTTTTTTTTTTTTTTTTTTTTTTTGGTACTGAGGATCAAACTCAGGACCAAACAGGCATGGGGCGCCACTGAGCTAAATTCCTGGCCCTATGTCACATTATTCTGAATAAAAGCTCTGGCTTTTAAAATTTATCTTGTTTTTTATAAGCTTATTTCTCTGTATATTATATGTATATATTGTACATATATTTTATTGACATGTTTATGTATTTTATATGTTTTATTTGTACAAAATTTATTGACTTTGTTTTATTGTATATATATTGATTTTATTTCAGGCTGATGCTTCTACTCAGAAAAGTGAAGAAAATGAGACATTTGATGTTGAACTCACTAAAAATATTCAAGGATTAGGAATTACTATTGCTGGTTATATTGGAGATAAAAAATTAGGTAAATTAAACCTTAAATATTTTTTAAACATGATAGTTGCTTCTGTTATGTGTATCTTATGAAATGTTGAATCATCATTGCATATTTGGAAGTTTCCGGATAAGCTAGCTGAGAATTTCCTTAGAAATAAGTTAGTGTATGTGACTAATATGACAGACTAAATAATTGCCGTGTTTTTTTGCTATGGTTTTTGTTTGTGTGGCTTGTTGATATGTATTTATTCTCAGGGCTTTTTATTTCAGGAACGGAGGATAGATACTCTTTAATTGTGTTATGTAAGTAGTGAAAAATAACCTGTTTCTTTTTAGAACCGTCAGGAATTTTTGTAAAGAGCATTACAAAAAGCAGTGCTGTTGAACATGACGGAAGAATCCAAATTGGAGACCAGATTATAGCAGTAAGTTACATATTTAATGATTGTGTTCTAAATTATCATGTTCGAGAATTGTATTATTCTAGTTTACTTATTTTTGAGAAATACAGGTAACTCTGATAATTTAATCTTGTTTTGGATTTGAGGTTGTCAACACAACAGCCCTTTTTATTACTTCAAGGAAGCAGAATAAAGCATTAGATGAAAGCTTTGCTAATCTCAATTCTCCAGGAGAAACTTCATTTTCAATAATACCTATTAGATTTCTGATTGCAATAAATTTGTTATGTTAATATTAGAGCAATACGTACCAGCTCTCCAAAGGTACAGAGCAGGTGTTACGACTTTCTGGTGTGCCTGAATCTGAATTTGTGCTGTGCATTTTTTTAGTCGTAATGACACTGTAACTGTTGATTCCATGGCCAGAGCACCTTTCTTTCACCTTTGTGTAAGAATACACAAAATGAAAGAAATAGACCCAGCTTCTCTTCTTAGATTAACTCACCCTATTATGGCAGTGCCATCAGTATGTTTCTGGGCATGAGGCTATTTGAGGCAGAGCCTGAAAGAACCCAGACTTCAGTTCAGTGGAAACTGGGCTGTCCAATCAACTCTGTGAAACACAGATTCATGAGATCCTGGCCAGCTGCTTCTGGGTTAAATAGGGCCAGGAAAAACTGCATATAATATGGTATCTGAGAGACTCACAGTGCCTATTGAAAAACGGAAGCCTGAGAATTCCTACAGTAATCTGCTTACACCTTTTACCTCTGTTTCCTAAGCTTCTGTAGTTGTGAAGTTTTCTCTTCCCAAATATGTTAGCATTCTTTGAAGACATCTTGGGAAATGCCTATTTAATAGGTATTTGTTATTGTTAACTATCGCCACTGTTCTTTTGGAATCTTAAGATTGGTAAGAAGACAGAGTGTTAAGATGAACGAGTCCTCAATCATAGCAGTGTTGTGTGCAGTAACCATCTCACAGAAGCAACCTAGATAGATGAATGGATGAAGGAGATGTGGCTTATGTTCATGTGGTGCAGTGCTCTTCATTCTTCAAAGAGAACAAAGAGCTACTGTGTGGATGCATTTGGAGGCCATGATGCTTAGTGAAGCAAGCTAGTGATAGAGACAAATACTGTATATTAAATGAGGTATCTAAGCTTAAGCTAGTCAACGTGAGAGAAACAAAAGGTAGAATGTTGGTTACCAGGGGCAGAAAAGAAGTGAATGTGGAGTTGTTTAGTGGGATAGAGATTCAGTTTGCAAGATGAAAAAGTTCTGGAAGTGTGTTACACAACAGTGTAAATATAACTTACTGAGTTGTACCTTTAAAAGTGGTCAATACAGTAAATTTTATGTTATGTTTTTTTAAAAAAGGTAGCAGAGTTCCTTATTTCTGCCTCTTAAGGTCCATTGGGGCTACTGAAACTCCTACTTACACCTGCTTGACTCTTGAAGTCTGCTTGGAACATCAAATTGAGCTTGCACCCAATCTGTTTACCTACTGGAATGCACGTCCTTGGTGTATTTGCATTTATCATGCAGTGAAAGTTAACCATGTGTGTGTTTTTTTTTTCAATTTGGGGAAAAGGGAGGGAGAAAGAATAAATAGCTGTAGAATTGGAGTGTATATATGATCCTGAGTTAAAAAAAGAAAGCTAACTTACTGTGTTTCTTGAACTATCTTAGTTCATTAGAAAACTTCTAAGAATATTTAGCTTTAATAAGATATTATTCATTTACTGTACAATTTACCTGTTTAAAGCTTATAATCCAATGACTTTAGTGCATTCAGTGTTTGACATTCAATGCCATACTGAATTTTAGGACATGTTCATTACTCTAAAGAGAAACCTCATACTCAATAGCAGTCAGCTCCTAATTCCCCCTGCCTCCCATTTCTAAGCCTTCATTAGTCTACTTTTGGTCTGGAACATTTCGTGTAAATGCAGTCATTGAAGACTTTTGATTTACTTCTTTCCCTTAGCATGTTCTCATGTTGTAGCATGTATCTGTTCTTCATTTCCTTTTATTGCCATTTTCCAAGGCATCAGTTGATGAGTGCTGTATTTGCATTGTTTTTACTTTCTGTCTATTATGGACAACACTAGTATAAACATTCATGTACAAGGTTTTATATGGATTTATGTTTTTATTTCTCTGTGTTATATACTGAGGAGGAGAAGTGCTGGATCTTATCATTATTTTATATTTAACTATTCAGTGAACTTATTGATTAAATTTCTTTACCATCAAATTTGGGATAGGGAAACTTCCTTTTTATGATTTTTAAGAGAATCAAATCAGATCTTTATTTAAAATATCTGGTATAAAATACATAAATACATTTTGATTAATTCAGGAGATATTTATTGAGTTCCTGAAATGGTTATGTATTTGAAAAAGTCTCAAAATGTTTCCCCCTAAACTTGTCGCTATTTCATTTTATGTAAGTGGAATCTCAAGTATAATTCCTTTTAAGAATGTCAGTGATAAAAGAAATGGCTACCTCAAAATATAAAAGTAATCTTCTTGCTTTCAATAAAAATATTCTTCACTATTAGCAATGTTTTGATTTTTGATGTTTAAATTTTAGCAGCATCCTTTTACCTCAAAGTGAGAAGCACCTAAATCTGTTGGAGAACATTTTACAATGCTTTGCTCGTGCCTTCATTTTGTGCAGAATACCACCATCTTGTGGAATTTTGAATATTGATAATAAAATCCTCCACATCCAGTTGCCTTTTCACAACTGTAGTCTTTTTGTCTGTTCTTTTGACAACAGCTATTGAAACTACAGTCTATTTTTACTTTGTAATCATAGTGTACGGAGAAGATTAAAAACTCATTTCTTACCATTTTGAAGAAATGTTATTTTTACAATTTAAAAGTATTTTGTTCCTTTTTTTTTTTTTTTTTTTTTTTTTTTTAAAAGAATTATTTTTATGTTTCCCGTGTTTAAATATAAATTTCCTAAAATTTTATTTTTTTTTTTTTTTTTTTTTTTTTTTTTTATACAAATTGTGTTCTGTGGATCCTTGGGTTCCACTCTAGCATTTCAGGGCAGGAACTGAGAAAATGGTTCTATCCCCACCACTTCCACTTGCCTTTTCACATGTTGGTATCCTGTATCACACATATTTGACAAGGGAATCATTTTTCAAATAGTTAACGAAACCTGTCAGTGAAATCATATACTTATTCTTTTTAGTTTGGTAGTCAGTGATTCATGCTAACATCAGTAAAGAATTACGACTGATAAAAAATTACTCAATAAGCATATGGATAAGAAAGTGTCAAATGTTGCCTTTGGTCTTCTGTGACTTTGTTAATAGGTTCAAGGGCTGTGTTGGAGAGGGCTGAGGAAACTACATGGAGTGAGCTAAGAAGCCAGGTTTGTGACTTGTGCCAACCCGACTTTCTTCCCTGTAATTCCTCTTGCTAATTGTGGGTTAGTGGGCTGTGCCCATTAGAAAAGCGATAGTTGTTCTCTTTCTGTGAGATAGAAAAGCACTCTGCTGCCATCATACTGAGTTCTGGTGCACTCTTGCCCATGGTGTTGCTGAATCTGAACTGACCTCTTAATGTTCTCGGGGACCAGAGGCCCTAGAGCTAACTGTGACTTCCAGTGGAAGTCCTGGTGACTGGGGCTGATTTGCAGCATGGATGTGCAGATGCTGGACAGAAGCCTTGGGGTTTCCCCATTTATTCCTTTTCATTCTGCTGCTAATTCAGCTCCTGAGTATCCCAGCACAAAGTGCCATGCATTGTAATTCTGGGAAAGTGGGCATCATTTCCATATTATAGATGAAGATATTGTGAAATTGGAGCTGAAGTCTAGTTTAAATAGTTCATGACAGTTTCATGATGGACTTTTTTCAATGATAGTATCGTCTTCTCACATTTGGTTAAGGAATATATTTTAAAATCTATGTTACTAAGTTTTGAAAATATGTTTTTCTTCATGTACTAGAATTTTAATGCTAATAAGGTACAAAATTTTAGGGCTAATAGGTACATTATATTTTTCTTAATGAAAAATTCCAACATTTAATATGTTGAATGATGAAAACCTATTGCATATAAAATCTTTGCAGCCTAAAGCTCTGTGCATTTTTAAGAATTTTCATAGAACCTCAAAGCAGAGATCTTTGTCCTTTTTTTCTTTCCTTTATTAGCGTAAAAGTAAATAACATGTTCATTTATTTTAGGTTTTGCTTTTAAGTTTTAAAGAATATAAAATTTGAACATGTTGCAGTAAAATTCAGAAATTTTACATGTAATTATTTAAATAGTGTTATGTCTGTTGATGACTTTTTATTTCTCATTTCACTAAAATATATACCTGGGGGTGTATTCATAGAAGCAGATATGAATCTACGCAGTATATTTAAGCAGGCTTATTCCTATTCCTAGACAGTTATGTTGTTTACTGTTGCTTTATTTTAAACAGATTATTATATACCAGTTATATGTTTTCTCTTTAAGGACTGTGATTTGAAATGTTTGAATTCAGTTTTGTTGTAATAGTATTACTTATATTTGAATTTTACTTACATTTTGCTTAGTAGTCAACCTTATATGCCACAGTTTCTTACTTAAATTTAAGTTAGATTACAGTGTCACTCAGGGGTTTTAAATTTTACAGAAAAGAGTGACTCTGAGCTGTCCATTTCTGAGAACCCCTTCAATTGCAGGGTGATGGGGCATCTTGGCTTTGACGGTGCTGTTGCAAGAGGGCTTTGTGCTTCATGACCTGGGCAGTGGTTAAAGCCATTGCTCACTTCCTTCTTAGGTTGCTGGAAGAACCCATCGGAGATACCTGACCTAACTTTCCATCGCCTCTTCCTCCCTGTGCTTTTCTTGTCAGCATTCTATTACATAGAGGTTCTCTTTTGAGTCTGCCATTCCTTGGGGCAGCTGGCTAGATTTCAGCTGACTTGAACCTGGCTTCCTCACATGTGTGGCCTTCCTCTGGTCTGTCAGCACTCAGAGGAATGTAAGTGGATCCCCACCTAATGACACTTTTCTCTAGCAGCCAAATAACCCTTTCTTGTCCTCCCAGTGGAGTTAAAACAGAATCCCTTTACTACTGCAGATTTCCTAAGCTTTAATGACCCAATCTTTTTTTATTCTAAGTGTGTGAATTATAGTTCTTTACCACCTAAAGTGTCTGCATGATTGGCCCATTTTATAGATTATTTTGGTATATGATCTCAGTATTCTTAGCATTTCAAACACAATTTACCTTTTCTCATGCATTGCACAGAGTAAAAAATTAGATTCATAATTTCTGTACCACAGTTCTATAGTCTGCCCTCTTTGCTGCATGGAGGCTAATCGATAGATTTCTTTTTTTCTTTTGGTCTTTGAAATGGAAGAATTTTACCAGGATACATCTAGGTGTTAATTTTTTTCTTATTTATTTTCTAGTTTTTCATGTCCCTCTTTGACTTACAGTCTTGGATAAGTTTCCTTTCCCTTAGTTTTTTCCTTTTTTCCCTATTTTTTTTCTCTTATAGTAATTCCTTTCATAAGTATATTGGATTTCCAAGAGCAGCCTGTGTGTCTCCAGTCTTATTTTACTGAAAAGTTTTATTCTGAGATATGTGAAAATCATACAATCTTGCCTTCCATTTCTTAACTTTGTTTTTGTAATATTTAAAACCTTGTGGATTTGTCTCCCACCCTGACCCCCGCTATTTGATAGATAATTATTTCTTTGTAAGTGTAATCTCTACTGTCATACATACAATGAAACCTTAATCGCTTTTGAAAAAAATTTCAGGAAATGGCTTTTTTTTTTCTGTTCACTAAAACAGTGTTTCATAAGATAGTTCTATTGATGCTTCCGTGGTATTTTATCCCATATCTTGTGACCTTTCTTCATTGTCACAAACAGCTGTACGTGTACAAATGGCATTTGAGATGGGTTGTACTTAGAGTGTGTGTGTTTTATGTAGTTGACTGAGGAACTGATAGAATGATACAGGCTACTGAGTGGTCCCCAGTGGGCATGGCCCGCAAGCCTGGTATATTTCTTAGAGTTAGTGTTTAGAAGCTGTGTGCATCACCTGACCACATCCACTTAGTGTTGTTTGAGATTCATTGAAGTTTCTTCTTAGATTCAGTTCAGCTGGCCTGCCTTTAATCCAGTCATGCCCAGGCCATTTCTAGTAGAAACTTCTCTAATTTTTGGAATGGGGACTTTTGTTCTTTATTCATTCCCAAGGATTGTTTTGTAGTATTTTCTCCATTATATAATTTGTTAGTTTTTCCAGAAGGGAGCCAGCAGTGGAATGTAGAGTGGAAGAAGAAAGCCACCTCTGTTGAAGTTTCTGCCTAGCTTACAAGAACCATATAAAATTTATAGGATGAGAAAGTGGTCTGACAAGAGTTTGAGATCACAGTCTAAATCCAGCTTTCTAGATTTTTGCTGTAATGTCCCCATTTGTAAAAACAACTACTCACTGTTTGCTCTTTCCTCCCTTCTGTATATTAAAATATGTTGTTATACACTGTGTATATTATTAGTATAGGTATTCTGTATTTCCATATATGTGTAGAAGCGTGTATTCATAAGTAAAACAAATGAGTTTTTAAATATTTAATTAGAATTTTTATTATATTCTTCCAGAAACCTCTGTAGTAAGGGTTCTTTATCTTTTTTTATTTTTTATTTTTTTGTGGTACTGGGGATTGAACTCAGGTCCTTGCGCTTGCAAGGCAGGCCACCGAACCGCTGAGCTATATCCCCGGCCCTCTTTATCTTCTTGAAAAACACTGAGCTAGAGCTTATACTTCTCATTCATTTAGTAAACATTTGAGTGCCCAGTGTGGCTAGCCTTGTGTTTATAAAAGCTATGACACACAGCCATTGTATATCCATTTCAGAATTAAGAGGATTATTATTGACTGTGAATTTCAACTTCAAATTTATTGTTCTGCTTTTCTAAACTTTTTACTGTGACTTACGAATTTTTATAAAATGATGTTATAGTGTGTATTTTCAATCTACCCCTAAAGGTGATTTTCTTTCCAAATAAGTTTTCGACTTATGATGCAATGGCTCCACACTCCCAGCTGGGGTGAATATCTACTGTGTGGCTAATGCCACATTTTAGTGACACTATTATAAGCAGAAGTGACATAGAGCCCATTCTTGGATTGTGTAGTTGTAAACCATGTCATAACAGGAAAGGTGTACTTGAAATCCTGAGAAGTGCTATGAGGAAGAACAGGTGAAGGGGATTTTTGTAGCAGAGATACTGAAGTAGCTCTGAAAGTAACCTGTGAACTAAGGTCTGAAGCAATCTGGGTGTTCTTTTGGTGAGGTGATGAGACAAAGCATGGGCTGAAGTGCACTAAGGGGCACATGTGTCATTGCCCACATCCTTTCAATCTTGCTTGGCATTTGCTGAAGTTTGAGCACAGTTGGATGGCCATGCTAAGCCGTTTGGGGCTTGAAACATTGTCCTAAGCAGTATTCTATAGAATTAAGTGGTTGGGATGATGTGATATCATGCTGATCTTGTGAAAAGACCATGGAGGCATTTTCAAGTATGTTTTTATTTGTGAATTGGAAAAGTAGGGAATAAACATATATATAAAAGGAAGGTATTTGCATCATTTTTTTACGGTAGGCTAAATGTGTTCTAGGGATACAGCCGTGCCCAGAGTGAATGCTTTTCTTCCCTGCCTTCTACATGTTTGTATCCTTCGTAATACCGGTTTCCAAACTTGATTGTGTCTCAGGATAACTCAGTGAATATAAAAGAACACTTTAAAAGTTATAAAGCCTGGGTCCATCCTAAAATTATTGGCTCATTTTTTCTAGAAATGTTATCTCTGTATCCATATTAAAACAAGCCCTCTCAAGAGATCCTCATGCACCTAAATTAATACCCATGCTCTAAACAATTGTTAGTATATTATTGTCTATCCCCCATGTAGAGAAATACTTATTTCCCATTTTTCATAGGAATAAGCAGTAAATATGTACTTGATGAGTTAGTGAACAAATACGCATTTATCCTTTAACATATCTTCTTCACAGGTAGATGGCACCAACCTTCAAGGGTTTACCAATCAGCAAGCAGTAGAGGTGTTGCGACACACAGGACAGACTGTGCACCTGACACTTATGAGGAGAGGAATGAAGGAGACAGAACCCCTGTCCTGGGGGGAGGTCACGAAAGATGCCGATGTGGCTCTGGTTGGTGCCAGCATGAGCAGAGGTAAGGCCAGATTAATCTGATGTTTGGTTAGACCTTTGCACTATGTAGATTTTTTTTTTAATTCTAAAATAACTGTAAAAATGTTGTTTTATCCTGAACTATTTATGATGAATCAAGTAAAAAGACAAGGCTTAACGAAATGAAATAAACTAGAACTGCCAACCAGCCCATAAACTCTATGATGGGTTTTTGAATACAGCAGATTTCTTTCTGTTGTTTCCATTCAGTCACCATGCCTCAGTTTTGACCCTGCAGAGTCACGTACCCTGGTATCTCTGCATCATCTACCTTTCTGTCCTGACCTTTGCTTTGTACCTCATCACGGTGATCTCCCTAAGGGGAATGTGGACTTATTTCTGTGAGCCTGTGCTGACTAAATAGCCCTCATTGCTTGAAGGAATCAATTTGAATTCTACGTTTAGAAATACCATGCCATTCATAAGCTGTTGCTACCTGAAAATTGCTGCAAATCACTGACATTGCATGCAGCTGACTGCCAGAGGAGCTTTTTGTTATGTGTCGGGTCAATGTCTGAAAAGTGCTATTTTATTTGTAAAGCTGTTCACTGTCCTGGAGTTTATGCTATATACTCCTTCTGGTAATCCTAGGAGATGGAGACGCCAGTCACAGAAGAACATTTGTCCATTTACAGCAGGGCTTTCCTTTATACGTGGTTACTATAAAATTTAACTCCCACAAACAGACTTACTTTTAGGGGTTCAAGTTAACTACAGCGGGTTTGAAAATTCAAGTGCTTGATGACGTTACTAAAATAACTATTAAAATGTTTTTATTCCCTAAGAAAATTGTGAAAAAGATGAAGATTCTTTGAGGAGGAATACCAGCATATTACCAATTGAAGAAGAAGGTAAACATTTTAGAGACAGGCTATGATGTACTTTATTATATTTTTAAAGAAATGATTTTTACAAATTAAACTTTTATGGATAATACTGTAAATTACTACATTCTTTTAAAAAATAAAGGTTATAAATTCCTATTTATACAAATAGATACAGTTCTCCTAAATTAAAGTCATTCATTTATAGCTGGTATATTTTCTTGCTAAGTTGGTCTATTTTTTCCTCTACTTTTTTTTTTCGGGAGATTTTAGGAATTGGTCATACGTGTGTAGTCTAAACTTAATCCTTTTGTTTTTGTATTGCTGACACTGTCAACTTTATTGAGCAAACAATAAAATGATAAAGTTCAGTAAAGACAAATATAGACAAGTCTTTCTAAGTTCATATGAAGGAAAAGATCTGATTTTGGAAGGCTATTTTTCCCTTTTCATTTTTTAAAAAAACATTCTGTATTTGAACACTGTGAAGATGGTTTGGAAAATAATTGTAGTGAGGTATTATCATACTTTTCTGAAAATTCTTTCATCATGCTGCTTAAACATTTTTGTAGCAGCATTATCCCATGGCCATTGTGTTGAGATAGTGCTGCCCTTTATACCATGTGTTATGTTCTTTCTCCCTGTACCTGTCTCCCTGCCTCATGTGCTTTGCTAACTAAAATCCGCCGAACAAAGTCCAAGACTGAGCTTCTTCCCTTCGTGTGAATTCTATCTTGTATTAACGTATCTTCATGTCTTCATATATCATGTCTTTAACATATCTTCCCCCTTCATTGCACCTTTCATGCTGAAAATCTTTATTTCTTTTTATTTTTTTAAGTGGCATTTGTGTTTGGAAAGAATATCATGTAAAGGAGACATGTAGGGTTCACACGTAGTAATCATATTCTGCCATTTTTATAGTCATAGGTGAAGGAATTGTTTAGACTAAAATAGATATCAAGAATAGAAAAACAATAAAAGTGTTCAGAGCATGGAAATTGAGATAGTGAGTGGAAATGGGTGTGTGTTGTCTTGAAGGCTCAGGACCATCTCTTTGCTCTAGTGAGGACAACTTATGAGAAATGTGTGTGTGTATTTGAGGAGGGATACTCGGTACTTAGAATGAGGAGGCTTGGGACCTCTTTGAAACAAAAAAAATCAAAGCCAAATTTTGTGATTCTTATGCATCTCATCTTGTACAAGTCCTCAGGCACGGTGTAAGGTGTCACTACTCCTTCCCTAGAAATTTGCCTCACTGCACAAACCTGGCCACGTCATTTGACTTCTCAGGAAGGTCAGAGGCCTGGCCTTGGTCTCTCTCTCTGTCTCTGTCTCTGTCTCTCCATCTCTACCTCTCTTCTCTATCTTGCCTGACATCTATTCTGGAGGCCCTAGGAGCTCAGAAAAGTTATGACCATAGGTTGGTTGAATACATGTGAATTTCAGAATTTGTATCAGTCACTGATTCCCCACTTTTTTTATAGCCCACCCTCCTTAAATCCCTGCCAAGCTGTGCAACAAAAAAATACGAGGAAGTAGATTTGGAGGAGGTGGGACTCTTACTGACACAGGCTTTTTCTCCCAGAATCACATTTAAAGATTCTGCTATGTAGATATCTCTCTCAGTACTGAATTTAATTTTTAGGAAGGAAGAAAATGCTTATTTGAGAGGGTAGGCAACCTTCACTGTCTCTCTTCTTGGGGCTGAACTAACTTAACAGGTTCACACCTGTTATCCCAGAACTAGAGCTTCGCTCCTCATTTATAAAAATTATAATATCTTTATGCAGTCTCTTCTGGTGAAGAAAGAGATCACTTTATTAACCTAGGGCATAACAAGTCTGCAAAATAGCCTGCAGTGAGAGCTTTTCAATTTCCACCAAAAGGAGGCAGCTCATGAGATATCTGAATTTTGGAGTACTCTTTAAATTTGAAATTTTAATGCTAAAATTAATTTAGAGAATACTGCTTAATAGAGATTTTTCAAAGGCAACTTTTATGAATAAGAACTATGATGAAATACAGAAATAAGTGAATATGGACTTGTAATTCTTCCAGGCAGTTTCTTGTTTTAGCTAAGCATTTTGAATTCAACATCGTTTATGCAGCTTGATGGTATTCTTTAAAAAATTTTTTTATTTCTCTTTTTGCCAGTGAGATTCTAGTTATACGCTTTTGAGTATAATCTCATTATTTGCTTCTTTTGATTTATACTTTCTTCTTGTATGTGGAATTGTATATATATATATTTTTTTTTTTGTTAATTTCTCTTTGTTCAGTAATCGCAGAGCCCTTTTTTTCCTGAAGTGCTATGTGGAAATTAGAGAGAACCTAACACAGAGGTGACCTGGCTTTTTACCAGATCCTCCAAAGAACCAAGCAGTGAATCCTGGAGCTACTCAGAGCTCCCATTCTTTTACATAAAATTTAGATAATGTATAGCTACTTTAATGGAAGTATAATTGAAATTTTAAAAATATCTGTTAAAAGAGATTATAGTTCTAAATTAAATATTACTGTCAGTGAAGAGTGACACATATCAAATGAAGACTGCGACTGGGCACAGCAGACAGGTTCTGATCACTGTATACGGTAGAGCAGATTTGGACGTGGAGAGTTCTGTAATTTGTCATTTAAGTGTCTGACCACTTCAGGACATCCCCTGCTCTCGGGTGAGGGAGAAGAAATGGAAGATGCACAGCAGACAGACGTTGCACTGCTGACCAAGTGGCAGAGGCTCATGGGAATTAACTACGAAGTAGTGGTAAGTTGGTCCGGCTTCCCTCTTTTTTAACTTGTACTTGTATTTGAGCATGAAGTGTATGGTAATAATAAAAGTAATCATTAGAAAGAGTCTGCTAGAATTAGGGAATATCCAGTGGTTTTTATTTTTTGTTTTTTTAAGAAGACTAAAATTGCTAATCCAGGCACTAAAAAACTCAAGAGAATGTTACATGGTAATCAAGGAGCTGAAATAAAAGGAATGGAAGTTTTAGAACTTACATTTCATAAGTATTTTAATGTTTCTGTTAGTATAAGTAATATAAACAAGAGTATTTTTCTAATTCTTAAACCTATGATTTATAGAAAGAATCAAAATAGTGACTGTTTACTTAAAAGTAAGACAAAACGCATCATAACCTATGTACAGAATTGTAGATCATCTTTTTTCCTCACCTTTTCACTCTCATGTATTAAATTATTTCAGAGCACTCTTTACATTTCACATACTACATGGTGAATGTTTTATAACATAAAACAGTTTGTATATCTAGTCAGACTATCATGATTTGCTATCCTAAAAAAAGGTTTGACAAAGTTGACCCCAAAATAATTAAGGGATTTGAAAGGGAAAAATAAAACACTTTGTTGGATAGAATTTTTTGTACTACTTTTATTTATTTGTTTCAGAACAGATGAAGGACAATAGCTACTCACATATAATATTAATAATTAACACTTACCAAGCCCTTCTTTACTATGCAGTATTCTTTTAATTTTCATAATAATAATCTTTTCCACATTTCAGATGGTTAACCTTCAAAGGAGAATTAAGTAAGCAAAACTGTTTTTTAAATAGAGTTAATGAAAAATGCCCTAAGGTCCAGCTCAAAAAATGATTAATTTAGCATTTTCTCGCAAGGGGCAGGGAGGGTGAGGATGGCTGGCATGGGTCACTAAGACTGTAGTTCTCTAGGTAGCGACTGAGTAATGAAGGGTATTCTTTTTTAGCCATTTTGTCACAGACTTCAGAGCCAACTTTAAATTCCCTGCCCTTTGATTCTGTTGGTGGTACTCCCAGTAGCCTGCCAAGGGCAGAAGTCTTCCCTGGGAGAGAAGGAAGTCATCTATGGGCCTTGGTCAGATAAATATAACTGAGACGTAGGTCTCACTTCACATTATTTGATATTACATGTGCTACATAAATGAAATAATGGAGAATGCATTGGCAGAGAGACGGACTGATAAACATTGTCAGTGGGGCCTTGGTAGGCTTCTCAGAGAAAGTAATGTTTAAGTTGGATTTCAGGGGCAAGAAGAATTTATTCAGCATTAAATTTCAAAGTCATCAGCCATTGCAGTACATTGAGCTCCATGGAGACAGCACCGAGAAAACAAGTGAACATGGGCAGAGGAGATCCTAAGAAGCCGAGAGGCAAAATGTCGTCATAGGCATTCTTTGTGCAAACTTGCCGAGAGGAGCACAAGAAGAAGCACCCAGATGCTTCTGTTAACTTCTCAGAGTTTTCTAAGAAGTGCTCAGAGAGGTGGAAGACCGTGTGTGCTAAAGAGAAAGGAAAATTTGAAGACATGGCAAAGGTGGACAAGGCCTGTGATGAATGAGAAATGAAAACCTATAACCCTCCTAAAGGAGAAACAAAAAAGAAGTTCAAGGATCCCAATGCGCCCAAGAGGCCTCCTTTGGCCTTCTTGTTCTATTCTGAGTATCGCCCAAAAATCAAAGGAGAACATCCTGGCATCTCCATAGGTGATGTTACAGAGAAACTGGGAGAAACGTGGAATAATACTGCAGCAGATGACAAGCAGCCTTATGAGAAGAAGGCAGCCAAACTGAAGGAAAAGTAAGAAAAGGACATCGCCGCCTACTGAGCTAAAGGAAAACCTGATGCATCAAAAAAGGGAATTGTCAAGGCTGAAAAAAGCAAGAAAAAGAAGGAAGAGGTGGAGGATGAGGAAGATGAAGAGAATGAGGAGGAGGAAGAAGATGAAGAGGATGAAGAAGATGATGATGAATAAGTTGGTTCTAGTGCAGTTTTTTTCTTGTCTATAAAGCATTTAACCCCCCTGTACACAACTCACTCCTTTTAAAGAAAAAAATTGAAATGTAAGGCTGTGTAAGATTTGTTTTTAAACTGTAGAGTGTCTTTTTTTGTATAGTTCACATACTACTGAATGTGTCTTTAGATAGCCCTGTCCTGGAGGTATTTCAATAGCCACTGACCTTTCCTGGTACAGGATGGGGGTTGTAAATTGGCATGGAAATTTAAAGCAGGTTCTTGTTGGTGCACAACACTAATGAGTTATATATGGGGATGGTAGTTTTTCATCTTCAGTTGCCTCTGATGCAGCTTATACGAAATATTGTTCTGTTAACTGAATACCACTCTGTAATTGCAAAAAAAAAAAAAAAAAAAAAAGTTGCAGCTGTTTTGTTGATATTCTGAATGCTTCTAAGTAAATACAATTTTTTTATTAGTAAAAAAATAAATAAATAAATTTCAAAGTCAGATGATTTTGCTTCTGTTAGTGACTTTACAAAAGTTAACAAGATGTGGAAGAACTTTTTTTTTTTCCTTTGGTACTGGTGTTCAAACTCGGGACCTTGCATTTGCAAGGCAGGTGTGGTTCCACTAAGCTAAATCTCCAGCCCGTAAAGAACTCTTTTTAAGGAAACAGCCTTCTCTCAGTTTTTTATCCATTTCATTAAATTTGAAATAAAAAATCTTTAGCATATGTACTAATTTTACTATAAATATTGGATTCTGTGCAAAGTTAGGTACTTTCCTGACATTATTCTTTAGTGAACATAACAATTAGAAGCTTTTATTCACTTTTAATGCTTTTAATGATTATTGTTTTCCCTCAGTACAACATAACACCCGGAGGGTTGTAGAGTCAGTTGCCTAAAATCCCCTTTTTACCTGGATAGCTGTGGTTAAATTAATCTCTTCGAATCTCATTTTACTTTTTAAATACAAAGAGAGAAATTGTACCTGTACATGAAAAGAAAATAAGATAATTATGAAATGAGATCAGCATAGTCCTTGCCACATGGTACTAAGTGCTACATATGTGTCTTTTTTACACTGTCTTTTGGGCTAAAGCTTTAATGAAGTTCTCATGGCCTTCCATCTAGTATGACCATCTGTACACACTGAAAAATACGTTGGGTGTTTGCGGCTGGCTGCTTCTCTGGTGTTTTTGGTTCAGGAAACCAATAGACATCAGTACTATATCAAAGGCAAAAAACCCAAAGCTCACAACATGGTTTTTGAAGCTTTCATTACAAAACTGAAAATTTTGAAATGAACATAAAATATAGGCATGAGTAGAGCAACAGTATATTAGAATTGTGATGTTGTTTTTCCCATTCAGGTGGCTCACGTGAGCAAGTTTAGTGAGAGCAGTGGACTGGGGATAAGTCTGGAAGCAGCAGTGGGCCATCACTTTATCCGCTCTGTGCTGCCGGAAGGGCCTGTTGGACACAGTGGGAAGCTCTTCAGTGGAGATGAGCTCTTGGAAGTACGGAGCTGTGCTTTCCTTTCTCTTCCATAAATGAGACTGAAAAGACTCGGGGGGCTTAGTACGGTTGATTTGTAAGATTTTGTTTTACCCTCCCCAGAACAATATCTATTTAAATCCAACCAAAGCAAAAATTTCAAATCACTATGCACATGGAGCTTCAGACCTTATTTTATGTTGGTTTTTGTTTTGCTTTAGCTCCAAAGAATTTATAAAACTTTTTTGAAAAGTTTTAGAAATAAATTTAATTTTTTGAATAGATAACCTAGGTTTCAACAGAGAATGTAAAGATAAACACTGAAAATCTCTTCCCAGCCCTTTTATGAAAATTTTATTTTGAAACATGTTTTTGCTAAGTCACATAGACTGGGTTTGAACTTGAGGTAGTCCTGCCTCACTCTCCCACAGTGCTGAGATTATAGGCCTGTGTCATCATGCCAGGCGGTGCCATTTTCCATTTCTAACTTAGTAAATGTCAGTTTGTTAATTAACAGTGTTAATTTTTAATGACTTTTCTCCTTTATCCTTTGTGGATATTTTCATTAACTTAACCTTTTCCAGACTCCCACACAGCAGATCAAATATAGAAGAAACCTAATAGTTTTTCATAGAGTTCTTTAAAAGCTCCAGTTACAGTAAAACTCTAAACTTGTGCATAAATTGCTTGAGATAGTACTTCCACATGTCTAACTACATTTCTGGCATTGTAGAACTGGTCATCACCAGAGTAGATTTTGTATTTATTTCATAAGAAAAAATGTTTTCAGTAGAATATTCATGTTATTAAATGTTTCTGACTTGTGTAATACATCTTGTTTTATAGGTGAATGGCATAACTTTGCTTGGGGAAAATCATCAAGATGTGGTCAATATTTTAAAAGAATTGCCTATAGAAGTGACAATGGTGTGCTGCCGTCGAACTGTGCCTCCCATCGCCCAGTCAGAATTGGACAGCCTGGACTTAAGTGACATTGAGCTAGCAGAAAAGGTATGAAACTTAAGAGATGCGGCTGATGTGAATATATAATTTAAAGTATATATTGTGCTAAAAATGGTGTGAGTATTTGGTTTCTTCACTTAGCCTATGATTAGAGGGGGGATCTTGAAGTCTGACAGACCTGGGTTGAATCACACTTGATACACTAGTTGTGCCACCTTGAGCAAAAGTCGCTTCGTCTTTTTGTACTTCATTTTTATGTAAAATTTGTCATGTACCTGCCTCAAAGAGTTTCTCAGGATGCTAATGAAAGCTATAATTTTAGATATCATCACCCAGGCATTTGTATAATTTAATTGCAATATTTCTAGATGCTCATATATCTCCATTTACAGAAGAAAAAAAACTGAAGTATATAAGTAGTATATATGTAGTACACATATGGAGAAATATGCTTTATATCAATTCTGTGGCTGGTACAGAAGGAATGCTAAAATATGGGTGGACAGAACATTTCAGTATGTACCAGTCTCATTTGCACACTGTAGTTTTAAAATAAATTTGAGCTCATAATATATATCAAATGATTCTCTATGCTATCCAGACACACTCATTTTCCTGTCTGCTTTTCTTTTCCATTCAGATCAAAATGTCAAGTGATGTTGCTCATCAGCTTTTGGGAGGATGCACAATACATTTGTAAAGCTAAGACTTGGGCTCTGCATAATTTAGAGCCTCACTGAATCTCATTTAAAATGTAATAAGAGATAATGTTGGGATTTGACTTACATTATACTGAAGGAATCAGTACAATGGAAAAATTTTGAAAACTTAGACGAATGAAGTCAATAATTTAATATCCCCATAGCTAACACAAGTAGAGTAAAATAGGAAACATAATTCCAAATCCTGTATGGCTCCAAAGGCAGGAATCATTTTAATGTGGTGTAAATGAGATAATCACAATAAAGCAGGTGGAGAGATTTGTATCCACGCTCCTAGATTGTCCAGTAGTTGATATAAAACAAAGGTAGTATACAAAGTAGAATTTCATCCTAATGAACACGTTTTTCTTAAATTTGGTATGTTTATACACGCACGTGATGTGGAATTCATCTATATTCCCTTTATTTTTACCGAAGTTGACTTTTTGAATCCTAATTTGTGTCAGGTGCTTTATAAATGTTACTTCATTTAATCCTCAAAAATTTCTATGAAATGAGTAACTGAAGCCCATGTTAAGAATTTTTCTCAAGATAGGGTTGGGGATTTAACTCAGAGGCACCACATGTGCCTCACAAAGTGCAAGGTCCTGAGTGCGATCCCTGGTACCAAAAAGGAAAAAAAAAAAAAGGAATATTGTTCAAGGTAACACGGAAATCATGAAGTCAAGCTTCAAGCCTAAGTAAATCTGATTTCAGATCTAATGGCTTGTGACTGTTTAATGAAATAATAAAATAATCTTGTGCCCAAGTAACTACCTTAGAACCCTTGTTCGTATAAAGTACAAAACTTTTATTCATGTTTTCTTTTGAGTTACTATATATTATAAAAATTTTAATTAAAAAGAAAGTAGCTTTACTTTCTTTCTGATTATAAGGTTGATGAACAAAATGACCACTACCCATACACATGGTACTGCGGTATAACCATTGTATAATTTTATAAAAAATCTTCAAGTACTACTTTTTTGATACCGATTTCAACTTAGTATTTTTCTTCTTTAATAAGTCATACCTTAATTCTTAAAGGTTTTGTGTTAAATTTAAGCACTCTTAGAGAGTGCTTCATGATAGACAGATGCTGGGGATCTTTCTTTTCCTGGTCGTTTTGGTCTCTGTTTTCGCCACTCTGGAGCCTCTGAAATAAGAGATGTCTGTCTGTTATGAAGCCTCTCGTTGACCTGGGTGAGCTCATCGGGTCCTCGGAGACAGAAGACCCAGTGCCGACAGCGACTGCCATAGGAGAGGACGTGGAAGAGGCGCACACACCTCTGGCCATGTGGGAGGCTGGCATCCAGCACGTAGAGCTGGAGAAAGGGAGCAGAGGCCTCGGTTTTAGCATTTTAGATTATCAGGTAAACATATTCTACTTTTAATAATTTTTTAAAAGGTGCCATATATTATAATATATAATGTTGATAGTAGAGAAAAAGAAGTGTTTCAAAGCCATTAAAGACACTGTCGTGGTTTTAGTGAGCCTTTCGAAATAGTGATTTAAATGATTCATTGTTCATCATAAGGGATTTCTTTTAGCATTGAACTCATTGAGCTGTTTTATATTTAAACTCAGAAATTTGAGGAACATTACATTTTAGGAATATCTAGATATAGTGTTTTTGTCATTTGAGAAATTATTTTGTTTCTGTGTTCTTGAATTGGTGGATCATATTTAATTATTCATAAAATATTACTATGCATTTTTGTCTTAGGTACATAATAAATTTATCATAGGATGTATTGTAAGTTCTGGTGTTCAGTTATTTCACTAAATTTATGAGTATGTCTAAAACGGTCCAGTGCCGCCTGTGTCCTTACCTGCACTGTCCAGCAAGGACTACATGAGGAAATGCAGTCTTGACAGCACAGCTGCTGTCCCTCGCTAGCACTGCACAGAAAGCCACCTCAGTGAACTCCAGGGAGTTGGGTGTATAGGCCTATATTCTGCAGCCATGTTCTGATCTTGAGGTTGCTGTGTAAATGAAATCACTTCATCACCAAACTCTCCATGACCTCTTTTCTACATTTCTTCATTTCAAAAGAAAGGGTGCTGCCTTTCATACACTCACATCATCTTGGAACACCTATTCAGCAGATGCTGTTGTGAATAATGATACATCTGACATTTAGCCTCAGATGAGCTATACAGTTTGTCTGTACAATTTAAGAGATCTGCTCAGGAACAGTAGTGAATGAGAGTGCCATTGTTTCTGGCAAACTCTCCGTCAACTCCCTAATGTGACATAGAGCCAACTGTTGCCCAAATAATTCACTGAATACTTTGTATAGAATATTTTGTATGAAATTTGTAAGGTACTTCATGCAGTTATCTGTCTAATATAATTCAGAAGGGACAACCTGGAAAATTTTGTTTTGTTTTGTTCTGTTTTTTGAGATAGGTTCTCACTATGTAGTTGAGACTGATCTGGAACTCACTGTGTAGCCTAGGCTGCTTTCGAACTCACAATGATCCACCTGTCTCAGCCTCCGAGTGTTGGTATTACAGGCTTGCCACCACACCTGGATTGGAAAATTTTTTTAATGTAAAAAGGAAATGAGTTCTCATTGCTGTCCATTCTGTTAGGATCCCATTGACCCGGCAAGCACTGTGATTGTCATTCGTTCCTTGGTGCCTGGCGGCATCGCAGAAAAGGATGGGCGACTTCTTCCTGGAGACCGCCTCATGTTTGTCAATGACATTAACCTGGAACGCAGCAGCCTTGAGGAGGCCGTGGAGGCACTGAAGGGGGCATCACCGGGGGCGGTGAGGATTGGCGTGGCTAAGCCTTTACCTGTAAGAATTTCGGTATTGGTGATTTCCTTTTGTATTTGTAAGAAAAATGGCTTACAGGCTTTTGTTTTCGACTTCAGGTGTTCTTGTAATTCACTCATCACATTAGGTACTTTTCATTGTCACAATTATTAGCTGCGTAACTATATAGATTTAATTTTGAGTAATATTTTTTAAGAGGATAAAGGAAAGAAAACAGGATATTTATAGAAAAATGTAACATTGCTTTTGTAGGTCTTTTTAAACTTTGTTTAAATTCAACAATAAAGTCATGATGAAGGCAAAAATCAGATGTTTCAAAGAAATATGGATTTAAATTTTAAAATACCAATCGATGGGGGTATTGAAAATGAATGCCATTAGCAACTAATAGTAGACTCTTTAATCATAGTGGAGCAAAGTAGAAACTCCAACAGAGTGGATTGAGTTCCTGAATTATTTTGATCTCAGCCCATTTGTTGTCCGGAAATTGCAGTCTGAAAACTGGGTTCATCAGTTTTTGGCCCACCTCATGGAAGAAGGAGTGGTTTGCATGGTGTGACATGTATTCACATGGCCACTGTAAATATAAATGTAAAAACACAGAGACGTTGTCAATTTCTTGGACTTTTCCCTCAGTTTATAAATTTAATTTTAAATGAAAGGGCAAATATATTTTCTCTTAAGTAAATGCAAACACATAGATATATTTGCATAAACAGCAATAAAGATTTATTGATTTTGGGGAAAGAATTTCTTAAGTAATAAGCTTTGTTAATGTATTTTAATGTTAAATTATTCCATGTACCAGTTTTAGTCTACAAAGGATTTCCGTGACCCAAAAAATGTATTTATAAAAAAGTAAAGAGAGGGAGGGAAGAATGAAGAATATGACAATCCAACCTAAAATGAAACCCAAATTATAGAAATAATGAAAAGAGATCCATATAAGGATAATGTAATAATGAAGATGGGCCGTTACAAGACCATGCACATTTATTAAGGTTGGATCATAAATTTAGTTCTGGTCTGTTAGACAAAAAGAAATGGCAAACATGATTGTGTGTGTGTGTGTGTGTGTGTGTATGTAACATATTATACATAACATATATTATATATATTTTATATATATTCCCTTAAGGAGAAATTTTACCATTTATTTTGAAGTACGGTCTTTTTCTTCCTTGTTCCAAAATAAATTTCTTCTAATTCCAAGCTTCAGGTTGAAATTAAGTATACATTGTAATATAGGATGAATACCTCTTGTACTTCAAATGATGCTTAATAAATATATATTTAGGAAAAGAATAAAAACATTCTTCTGTTATACTTATGCATGTATATATCTATTGCTGACACAGAGTGTGTATCTAAATATTTAACCCATTTCATTGGAGATTGGAATAAAAATGTTAGATTTTAGGCCGGGGATTGAGCTCAGCGGTTCTGCTGCCTGCCTTGCAAATGCAAGGACCCAAGTTCGATCCCAGTTACTAAAAATAAAAATAAAAAAGTTAGATTTTTTTGGTCAGTGTGCTCAGGATTACAGTATAATAGTGCAAGACTGCAATTGAAGCAGACAGTGTACTTGTACTGTTTTTCTTCTGTTTTATCATGATCTATACAAAATTATTTGGCTTCACTGAAGATTCAGTAACATTCCTTGTCAAATAAGCTTCATTCTCTAACTTCCTGAAAAGGGGTGACAGAGAGAAGGTGATTCTTCTTTTTAGGGTTTTATATTCTACACCTGTTTTGAAGTCTTAATAACTAAGATTTGCCTGTCATTATTTTGCCGGAATATTTGACAGTTAAAATGACCAGAAGATTATTATAATACAAAAAAATCTTTTATAAGAAAAGTGAAAAAATAGTAGAAAGATTCTCATCTAGCACATGATGTTTATACTAGAAAAATGTCCTCTTTGAGTTTTTTCAAATAAAGTGTTTAATGTGGGTACTTGTGAAATTTATACTTATTCTATGCCAGAGTCTCTTACTGTCATTTGAAAACCTTCCCAGTTTTTACTTCTCTCTTCTCACTTTCTTCCCCTTGTCTTCTTCCCTCCCCTCTGTACTTCCTCGCTGCCCTGTCTCCCGGGAACTGGCCTTTGCACCTCACTCCCCCGCAGCTGTCGCCAGAAGAAGGTTATGTCTCTGCGAAGGAGGAGCCCTTTCTCTGCTCGCCACTCTCCTTCCAGGAGCACAGTCTGCCTGCCAAAGCCCTCCTCCGTGGGGCTGACTTGGCTCTGGTTAGTGGCCCCAAGTTACCCAGCTTCCTTTCCCAATTCATACATGTCTCACTTTGCCTTTCCAGATATTCTGGATGAAACTTACTATGTTCTTTGCTCGGTATGTTTTAGAAATTCATTGTGTACATCTTGCTTTCAACCAGATTGGGACCTATTTCTTGTACTGTGTGTATTTTGGTAAGCCAAATTTTGAGGGAGTTAATTCATTTTGTTAATCTTTTTAAATCGCAAACTCTTGAAGTATCTCTTCAGGAAGATATATGTATGCTATGTAAACATTTTCACGTTTTGATACTTAACATACGAGGAAACTTTGGGCCCTACCCTCAGTGGTCATCATCATTTAGCATGCTATGAACTTTGCATAGTACTGGTATGTTAAACAGTACCCAGAAAGAGCAAATTATTCTTGAAATGTCACAGGATACGGTATTCTCTGTACAGTTGACATGGCATCTTTGCACCTATTTAAACGAATGCCCATCAAAAAGATTAGTCCCACTTTTATGGATGCCTAGCATTTTATAGTAATAGCAAGTGCCCTGGATCTAACCAGTTGTGTAATGTTGTGCTGCTTACTCATCCTCTCTGGGTCCTCTTGTTTTGTCTCCATGGTATTTAAGCAAAATGAGTTTCAGAATTTCTCCTAAAATTCTAAGGCAGTAGGTATACAAATATTCTTAAATATTATCTAAAATAAATTTTATCTATGACAGTCATGACACAAGATAGTTTATACTGTCTTGTCACAATGACAAATAGTAAATATTATCTATTTGTGGTACATAATGCCCACTTATAAAAGATAAATCTCTACTTCGCGATTCACTGGCAAGTTGGAGCCTGCACTTACACACTGCCACCGGCCTGTGAGGTGCATCTCAAGTGGGGGTTACATTGAAGTACCCCGCCTATATTTTTAACAGCTTTTCCAGTGCTACCTCCTCTAATGTTGTAGTGCTTCTAACTTCTAAACATTTAAGTCGAAATAAGAAAGAAATAGAACATGTGGAATTCGCCATCAAAATGACCAGAAAATGCTGATAGATCAGAAAGTGTGGGCCTGAGTACCTGCAGGTGTCAAACTTAATGTTACTTTTTTCCTTGAGTCTGCTGGGGAAGATCGTAATATGATTTTTAGAAAATATGTGGTGAAATTCCCTGTCTCATTCTGTATGAGATTACTACTAGAAGTGTATAGCCTAAAACTCCTCATGACCAGATGACAGGCCCTTTATCAGACTAATTTTAGCATGAAGTCAGACTTTTTTTTTCCTTTGGTTAATACAACTTCCAATGGTTTTAAACTCTATTTAAATAGAACACATAGGTTTCAGAAGTGTAATTGGTTTGCTATGCTTTTGATAAGTTTACTTTGGAGGACTAGAAGAGAGAACCTTGTTCGTTTCATTAAGGGGTAAGAGTTGGTCCTGTGAACTTGTTAAAAGTAAATATTTTCTTTAACTTTTTAAACTGCTGATATTTAAAATTGATCCAGGACTTTTGTTGTTGCTTTTAGCTCTTTTACTGATAGAATAAAGTAGCCTTCAGTGCCAACACTGTTCTAGAGGTGGGCAGTTTGTCCTTGTTCTGCTGCATAGCCTCTTATGTGCCCCACAGAGTGGAAGGAACACGCAGCAAACAGTATAGACAAAAGAATGGTCCCAGTATACCTGTCAGTCTTGGCACAGGAGCCTGTGATATTTGTTGTCAAACAGAATTCCCATCTGATGCTGTTTTATTCCTAGGTGGATACACAGGAGGCTGAAATAGTAGACGAGTCCACATTTGAGTCACAGTTCTCTCCTGATAAGGACAGTGTCTATTCTACCCCAGCCTCTGTCTTATCTTTTCATGGCAGTGTGTGCAGCGATGGTCTGAGCTATGAGCCCTCCCTTCAATCATCTCCTCCCAAGGTATGAAGAGAAGCTATTTTACTTATGCGGAGCCTTTGTGTACAGTTTTCCAGAGATTATTGTGTAAGGGCAAGTTGTGGAGTAGCGTATTAGAGCCATTATATTTCTCCAGCCATGGATTCACTTTATCAGATTAAAGTTCAATTTCATTTGGGTAGTGTGGATTGGCTATCTTAGAGATTAGTATGGACTGTTTAATTTTAATGTCTGTCAGGCATGCTGATTCAAAGTGTAGATTAGAATGTTCATGTCAGAGAGAAAAAATTTAATGAAATGAATTTTCTAAGCTGTGGGTTATAGTAGTATTTATTTTGGAAAATTTCAAGAATAACATTATTAATGGTTTTAAAACTAACTTTTACACATAGTTGGATAGTAAAATGTTTCCTGCATTAATTTAAAACTTACTAGCCAAGGTAAACTTAACGTTGTATTTTTATGTAAAATGATGCCTAAGAACAATTTATGTAAAAAGTCGCAGAACAAAGTATGTTTATATCGGTGCATGTTAATGAAGACTTCGTGTAGTGTTTGACATATACTCTGTGTTATAGAAATAAACTAGAGGCATAAATTCCCCAGTGCTATCCATTTTCTTGGTGACATACTCTGTAATGCTTAGTAATCATTTAAACCTATGCAATCTTTTAAGTGCAGAATGGTATGTTATTTCATACTTTAATTTGTATTTACTGATTACTAGAGAAATTTATTACTTTTCCTCCTATTGAACATTTGTTCTTCACATTTCATATAGTTTGACCACTTTTATATTGCTTATTTATCTTTCTGATGATTTGAGTAGTTTATATATCTGAAAATTAATGCATAAAGCAATTTGATACATATTTTTACAAGTGTGTATGTGTATGTATAGTGAAAATCTAAAAATATTGTAGGCCTTGTATTTCTCAACTTCAGAAAGAAATGATCATTGTTGAAGAAAAGGAAACATGGAACTTAGCTGTATCTATCATGCATCACTTATTTTAAGAAAAAATATGATAGAAGAAAATATGAGAAAATGTTCATATGTGTTGAGTCTAGGCAAAGTGTTCATATGTGGATATATTTTCTTTATTTTTCTATGTTAGAAATATGCCATAAATATACTTCAAGATAAAAAGACTGGACAGTCATTTTTCCTAAATACACAATATTTTTCTGCATAAATTCTGCATAAATTATGGGAAAAAGTCTTGCTTATGAAAACATTAGAATGTTATATTTTCGTAGGTCTAGCACCATTTTTTCCCGAATAATGTAATTTTGGGGCCAGAACATTTTCAAAACACTTTGTTTTTATGTTCACGGTGCACCTGTTATCCCTGCAAATGATGCCGGGCAGTCTCCTTGAGCTGGTTTGCAAGGTATAATCTTGAGTAGAGCAGCTGTTGCTCTTGTAGCACACCTGAGACTTCTTTCTGGCTGTGTCCTGTCTGGAATATGTGTAGCCTTTATTGGCCTCGGGGCTGGAAGCTGAGTTCATCTCCGCGTGGAATAGCTTAGTCCACCGCGTAGTATACTTCTTCTTGCCAGTGGGACAGATTGCATTGTTTAACTTGCTAATTGTTACTTAAAGGGGTTGCGTAGTCTGCATACTGAGAAGCATGTATTTCACAGGGTAAATGCTGGCTGTGTGCCGCACCACATACTGACTTACTGAACTGTGCTCGCCTCCTACTACTTCTTTCCCCCTAAGCAGTTTACTCTTCTGTTGAAGCAGATTTGGGAAGCTTGTCTAACAACTGAAATATTTAAAGTACAAAACAACAAAGCATTAATGAGTGTGTTCCAAAACACATTGTAAAACTCCTGTGTGCATTCAGTTTCTTAGAAAGTAGGACTGTTCCTGCATCATGATATATCTCTGCAAATCCAGTGTTTGGTTTTCATTTTGACTGCACCTTTTTAAGTACATATATATTTACTGTAAAAACTTATGCACATAGGCCTGGGATTTAGCTCACTAGTTCAGTGGCCAGCCTTGCAAGCGCAAGGACCTGAGAGTTCAATCCCCGATACCCCCCAAAAAATTATGTAAATAAAAAATTATACATTATATTTTTCCCGTTTCTTTGCACTAAATTTATCTTAAAAGATAGAATGGTGATTTATTATGGAATTTAGAACTATTTTTCTTCAAAAATAAGTTCACATTAAGGCTTTTAAATTAATAAAATAAAAACAAGATAGGATATATGTAATTATTTAAATATATGGTATATGTGGATATTTGAGAAAAACAAAGATATAGCTGTTCATTTTTGCTCCTGTCCACACAAATGTTCCATTTGGGGCCCATTTTGCTTTATTAACTTGCTGTTTTTATTAGTATATGTTTGCAGCAAATAACATTTGCATTCCTTGTATGGAATCGGTCCAAGTATATAACATATCTTAATTCCTTTTTTCATCCTCTTTCCCTCCTCTCCCTCCACCATCTCTTGATTCCCTTCCTATCAGAGAAAGATCTATTTTTTTAAAGAAATAATGTTTGTGCTGGGTGTGGTGGCGCACGCCTGTAATCCCAGCACTCCGTAGGCTGAGGCAGGAGGATCACTGTGAGTTCAAGACTAGCCTGGGCTACATAGTGAGTTCCAGGTCAGTCTCAACTACATAGTGAGACCCTGTCTCAAAAACCATTAGAAAAAAAAAAAAAAAAGAAAGAAAGAAAGAAAGAAAGAAAGAAAGAAAGAAAGAAAGAAAGAAAGAAAGAAAGAAAGAAAGAAATGTTTGCTTAATTTGATTATCATTTTAGGATTTAAATATATTCACTTCCATGTCATTTGAAATAATCAGAGGCAGGTCACTGAAATGTACATTTTAAGGGCACATGGCTATATCCAGTGGGTTTTACCTTTCTCACTGTTCTGTGTTTTCTTTCTTATTACTACTTTTACTTTTTTTCCCTGTTACGTCCAAAGACGTGACAAAATGCAGAAATGGTTGTTTTGCAAACTTAACTGTTTGTAGATTGTTGTTTAAAAGCTCAGCAATACTTTCGGAGAAGGTGCTTGCCTTATATTTTTTTCTGTTTTGACATGAAAATATAACCAGTAGGTATGAATAACTGCCTACAGAGCCTCCCCGTCCAGTCCTCGATGTCCCTTCTCCTTCACCTCGCACGGACACTGTACTCCCAGTCTGTAACCAGGGTGAAGTTGCTGCCAGTGCACACGCTCCTCATTCCTGAGTATGGACTCCACCAGAAAGTGCTGTCAGTTGTAGTGCAGGCTCGGGTTCCCATTGGTCGCGATAGGTACTTTTCTTTCTTTCTACCTCGTATACCGACCAGGATTAATGGATTCTGCTGTGTTGATACATACATCCTATATGCATTCCTGCAAATTTCCACTTAGTGTTAATCTCTAACATACAGTATTACTGCCTTTACATCCGCATTTAGAATGGTGGTTTCTTTGTTTTTTTAAAGAAGTTAAGATCTAAAAACTAACTAAATACTCTGATCAAAATGAGGTATGCCTGTAAATGTCTCACTGACAAAATTGGAGATGGTCCAAGGTATAAAAGATGTTTGCTTTTCCCACTATAGAGTCAGTGCATAATCAATAAAGGAGGTGTACCATATTTCAGAATGAGTGGAGAATCACAGTAAGCGGGAGGAGTGGTGCACGCAGTCTTTCTTTTTTTAAGTGAAACAAAAACTATCTCATCTATTGCTTATTGGAAAAAAGTAGGTTGTAGTATTTCGCTATTATCTGTAAATTTATTATTTTGATGAATGAGTTAACCAACTATAACATTAAGCATTTCTCTTAAAAAAATAGAGCATTTAAGTACATTTGCTGTTTAATCTAATGTGTTCCTCATGTATCCCTGACGACAAAAATACAAGGTGCGATTATAATACACAGTGTGATGGATATTTGAATTTTTTGAATGATTACAGTAGAACACATTGCCATTAACCCCTGTCAGAATACTTCTGCGTACTTCAGACACTTAACTCACTGTTGCTGCCTTCTGAATTCGGTCTGGAAGTTCTCTTTCGTGAGTGTCTTTAGGAGGTGTACTAAAAAGTGGTGAATGTTGCTGCTGAGTGCATCTAATGAAAAGCCAGACAGGTAACAACATGACACTGTGTCCTTCCTCGTGCATCATCCACCGGAACTGGCACCGTGTAACTTCCCGGCTCTTCTTCAAAGTCAAAATGACTGTGAAAAATAAATGTTTTTAAATGGTTCAGGGCAAGGAAGCCATGTCAGTACAACTAAACACACTCACCAAAGATCCTCCACACACTTGAGATAGATGGGGTAGGCATGTTTAAAGCAAGGGTGAATGTTTTGAGGGAGAGTAATGGCAATTTATCTTTTATTGTAATAATTTTTAAAAATATAAATGTTAACCATATTTTTGATTACACCTTGTATATCAAGCGGAGGCAAATATTAATATATACTCTTGAAAGCTTTTGGTTTAGATGTGAAGAATTTAGAAATTTAAATTTAAGAATTTTAAATTTAGAAAATTTAAGTTATTATTTTACGTTTTATGTGGAAGAACTGTATTTCTTTTAAATCGTAAGACTTAAAAATAAAACTCTGTTGTTCAGCAGCCAAAACTGTTTCTGTAGTGGGAGTATGTTGTCTACTATGTTGATTAGCTATTTCTTTTCTATGAGCCTGTGTTAACTCCTTCGTGAATAATGCATGGAAATTTTTGTTGCACCATTTTCAGCAAACCCCAGCTAACAAGGCTGGCTTGACCTCTTTCTCTTCGAAAAGCAGTTTTGCTTATTATCTTCATTTGAGGCGTGGGTGATATGATTTATGGCTAATTATTATAATTAATTTAGTAATACTGAAGCTAACCAATTCTTTAGAAAGTACATTGTTATTTTTCTTAAGAATAAAATAATTAGAGCTAGGTGAATGAGACAGCAGGTTATTTAGACGCTGAGAAAGTGAAACATACTACTTTGCTGTCATTTTTTCCTCAAAAGTCTAATTGCTTAAATGGTAGACCAACCACATCCATTCATTGTTCCAAGAATATTTGATAATTTCAGAGGTGATAACTTGCGTTTAAAAAGAGAAGTGTAATAAGTTCTGTTGCAGCGGTTAAATTCCTCATTTATATAAAATAGAGTCCCATATTTCATACTGCAGCTGAAATGTAGATGATTTAAACCTGAAAAACTTACATAAAGATATAAGAAAAATGATAGAAATAATTTCATTTACTTTGTGTAGAGGAACAATTTATGAATCAGGATGTATAACCCAGAAGCAAAAAAATGAGTAAAAGAAAATTAAAATTTACGCATTTGATTATATAAGCAGTTTATTTCTGCACCACCAAAATATTAGGAATATAAACTTAAAGGACTAGTTAACAATGAAAATATTTGCAGTGAATTTAAGAAAATGCTATATTCATACTAGAAAAGTAAAAATCACTTGATAAAATACTGTATTTTATTGTATGCACTAATTCATTTCATTTATACTACTAGTTTCTCTGAGTTCATTGAAAAAAAATTTGTGCTATTATCTGTTTTTTATAAGAGAAAATCTTTTTTGTTTGTGTCTTATATTGAGTAACTGCTCTGAAGATAATCAGTATGTGGACTGAGTATCTTTTATTATTTTATTATGAGATTTTTTTTATTTTTACTTAAAGAAAATCGGGTAAAGTATAATGGAGAGAATGTTGATGAAAGATAAACAAATGGCATACCCTGGCTAATTGTCAGGAACATTATAGTAAACTACTGCTGAGTATTATTTCTTACTGACAGGATTACCAGACTGATCTGTAGTTCTTCAGATTGGTTAATAGGTATTCCCATATTCTCTTTTTGTGAGAGAAAATTGGAAGATATTTTGGCAATGTATACTAACATTTTAAGTTTGAATATCATTGGATCTCTCTGACAGTTCGTGTTTAATACATTTTTATACATGTGCATGAAATTGTGTAATATAAATAACTGCAAAAGCTAACAACTGTTGAACATTTTATCTTTGTGAGGGCTGTGTTTAATGTTTTATGGATATTAGCTCTGCCTTCTAAACAGTTATATATTAGGCCATTATTTTCCCAAGTTTATAGGTAAGAAAACTGAGGGTGTTTAAATAACTTACAAAAGCTCAAACAGTTAACGATCTGTGACCCAGAATCTGTACTCCAGTGCTTCCTATACTTAGGAACAATTTTAGTATAAGAAGATTAGGCTTTTTTTTTTTTTTTTTAACTTACAGGAAAACTTCTGGTATCAGAATGTAAAAATACTGGGAAAAAGAGAACAAGTAAAATGTACCTTTTAGTATTGGTTCTGTTTAGGTTTTTAAAAGGTATTAATTTCAGCATGTATGTGTGAGTTTATGTGCACTTGTGCATACATATTTTGCAGATACATAAAATAGAAAAGATAAATGCCTGAGGCCTGCCACTTTTACTCATGGAAGGAGTGAAGTAGAAGCTATGACAGAAGATTTCTGTCTTATACTCTGTAGGCATGCACAGTGCATATCTGTATGATTTGAATCTTTCACAGGGTAATATGTGCTACTTTTGTACTTTAAAAACATCAATTAAAAATTGAAAGGAAGGGGCTGGGGATTTAGCTCACTGGTTCAGTGGCCTGCCTTGCAAGTGCAAGGACCCAAGTTCAATCCCCGGTACCAAAAATAAATAAATAAATAAATAAATAAATAAATAAATAAATAAATAAATAAATAAATAAAAAAAAAAAATTGAAAGGAAAACAGGCATATTGTTCATGAAACAACTGTTCAAAGCACGTTATATGACATCTGCTGTAAGTAGAGATACGTGTATTTCTATAAAAATATTACATTTTACAGTTTCATGGAATTGTAGAAAGTGTCTAGTGTATAGCCAAGAGAGTTCTGTGATATACAGACTTCTGATAGAGTCTGGGTTAGAACTGTGACAAGCCAGCTTAATGTTCTTTCTACTATATTTCGTAAGATATTCTTGAAAAATTTCCCTAGAATAATCTGAATTGCAAGGCTTTCTTTTCATCTCCATAAAAACCTATAAATGCTTATCAATAAATGTTTTCTCACCCTGACAAAAAAAAAAAAAAAAAAAAAAAACCAAAGAGAGGTAGAGAGGAAACAGAGGAAGTACCAGTGAAAGCCAGATGTCTTACTCCACAACTGCCCTATCAACAACTCCACCATCCCAGTCAGCCAGCCTCTGTTGCCAGCATCACAACTTTCAGCCCCAAGCCTACCTCCCAGAAACATTAAGGCTGCCTTTGACCCAAAAAGCCCTGTGAATGAAGAAAGTCAAGATGGTGTCACGTACTCGGAAGGTAGTAGAAATCTTAGAGGAGGATCAAGAGAGTGAAGGAGAAGCATAAGACGACAGAGAGGCATCCAAAAAATGAGACAAGAACCTGGAAAAGGAGGAAAAGAAGAGATTAGAGCTGGAAAGAAAATAAAAGAGAAGGAGAAGAAAGAATAAGAATTAAGGAAAAAATTAAACTAACTGGCCCTATTCAAGTCATCCATCAGGCAAAAACCTGCTGTGATGTCAAAGGAGAAAAGAATGAACTGAGCTTCAAGCAAGGAGAGGAAATTCAAATAATCCTCATCGTTGACAACCCTGAAGGAAAATGGTTGGGCAGAACAGGGAGGAGGGGCGTCGTATGGTTATATTGAAACAACTGCTGTAGAGATTGATTACAATTCTCTGAAAAGGAAAAACTCCTCCTTAACCACTCTGTCCTCAGCGCCTATTGAAGATGACCAAGAAGTATGTGATGATGTTGCTGAGCAGGATGCTAGTAAGACAAAGTCAGTGTGGAAGTGGAGAAGGCGTGTTCCCACCACCACCAGATGATGACGTTTATGATGGAATAGAAGAGGAAGACACTAATGATGGTTTCCCTTCTCCCCCTGAACAGTTGGAAGTGGGAGACAAAGTGTACAGTGAGTGATGTGGGTGCCTTTGATTTCCCTGCTCTGCCAGCAGAGATGAGTTACAGAATCAGCACTGGAAAAGCCAAGATGGAAAAAAAGGTTGTAAGGTACTAAAACAGCAAGGAAAAGAAGAAAAATACCTCAAGAAAAAATTTAAATATGACGGTGAAATTAGAGTTCTATATTCAACCAGAGTTTCATCTTCTAAAAAGTGGGGGACTAGAGATCTACAGATAAGGCCTGGTGAATCTCTTGAAGTTATATAAAACACAGATGACACAAAAGTTCTCTGCAGGAATGAAGAAGGAAAATATGGTTATATCCTTCGGAGTCATTTGGTGGAAAATGATGGAGAGATCTGTGCTGATATTGCTGATGGTTGCATCTATGACAATGACAGGATTCAGCTTGTCCATTCTGTTGTGTACATTGTCTTTCATGAAGTCTAGCTTCTGTGTAGCATGTGAAATTGAAATGGCATAGACGAATGCACAGAAATTCTTATGTGCATTGGTTATGAAATTCTCTTTATAAAATTTTGGACTTAGAAAATGATATTTCTACTTAATATCTCAAAGGAGTGCATTGAGTGTAAAAATTATTACATTTCTGCTTTAGCTATAATTATAAAGGCATTTTTAGACTATAAATAGGCTGTTTCCTCTGCCCACCTGCCCTATCCAAAAAGAAAGAAGAAAAAGTCATTCTAGAAGAAGTGACTATTCTGTCTAAAAATATGTATAAGCAAGAAGAAGAAAAAACACATAGAAATTGTAAAGCATTCCACAAGAAGGAAAACTCTTGTTCATTTACTTATGATAGTATCTTACATTGTATACTCAAATCATCTCTCATTTTAAAAGGCAGAGGTCCTTCTTCTTTTGCTGGTGGTTTTTCAAATGTTATTGTAAAAATAGAACTTTTGTATAGTTTGCCCTTATTGGTTAATTGTGAATATGTCTTAATTATTTGATAAGAATGTTACACATTCAAGTATGCACATCTAAGATTAAACTGTAGAAAATAATAAAAAAAGTTTCCTCTTGGAGGTTCTTTTAAATCCAGTTCAATTAATAGCATATTTTCAATACTCTAACCTCACAGTGAATAGAAATTTCTGGCTGATTGGAGATGTACTTTTTTTAAGATACTTTAAGTGAGATGTGAAAATATAAATTATTTGTATCCTTTATGTAGCTTAAACTGAATAATTATATTAATGGATAAAGGTGTGATCAAAACATGGTAAATATTTAAATTGTCCACACTTATCACAGTGAAAGACACATTGCCATTGCTCTCCCTTAGAGTGCTCCCCCCAGACACACTTGTCCCACCATCCTTGCCCCTCGCTTGTGCAGTCCTGAATGTCCTTTTGTATGAGTGTCTTTAGTACGGCCTGGCTGCCTGTATGTCCTGAATTGGCTGCTAACAATTCTCTTTCATAGTCGTTTTGACGGTAGGGAAGATCCAGAAGATGAAGGGTTCCAGATCTGGTGAATAAGGTGGATGAAGACACATTGTACTGTTTTTATTTAACAGAAATTGCTGTAAACATTTTTGTGATATTGAAACATTCATAGAAGAGGATTTCCAGCACTGCTTCAGAATGTAGTAAGGATGAGAATGTAGCCAGAATGATGGAAGTTAGGTATATTGAAGGGGATTTAATGGCACTGTCTTTTACTGTAATAAAGTTTTTAAAATTACTTTTTAAACATACACTGTGGTTTCTGACCATTCCTCACATTGTATCTGAATGATCTTTATGTGTGGTTTGTTGTACACATATAAACTAGTAGAAAATGAGATGTGTGATTTGCAGGAAAGGTATTAAAAGCATTTATGAAAATAAATATGCAGAAAATCTGTTGAGTGAATCTACATTCATTAGTGCTTTTAAGATAAATAATTTTGTCTTATTTTTACTAATTAGTTGTTCATTAAGTAGTTATAAAATAAATAGATGTAAGTCAGCCTACAATATTTAAATTTTTCTTAATTCTCAGGATGTTGATAAAAATGCTTCTGACCCAGTACATGATCTGCATATGTCCTTGGAGGAACTCTATGCCCAAAGTCTCCTGCAAAGGCAGGACGAGAATCCACCCTCAGTAGACTTAAGCATGGTGTCTGCTTCTGGCTTTGTCATAAACGATTATACACCTGCAAATACTGTTGAACAGCATGGACATGAAAACACAACAGCTTGGACTGAATCTCATTTACCTAGCGAAGTTGTATCAAGTTCAGAGATGCCTTCTCCTGTGGTGCCTGATTCAACTGGGAAGGTAATATTTTAAAGACACGGCTTGTGTATGACAAGACAGTGAAGAATTAATATCTGGCTAGTCTATTTATTTAGTCCTTGCTGAACAAAGCCTAACTAGGTAGAGCACATGTGCAATGTTGAAACAAACTCCAAAGTCTAGTTTTCCTTTCTACGTAACTTGTTTTTCCTTTCTTTCAGGGCTCTGAGTACTTAATTGAACAGAGCTCTCTGGCCTCTGACGAGAGTGTCATGCTAGAAAATATGTCCAAAGAACCTTTTGAGAGGACTATTACTATAGCAAAAGGCAATTCTAGTCTAGGTAAGTTCCTCATTTTCTATATATCCACTGGGCAAGGGTGCGTATTGAACATGATAGGCTTCAATGTGTATTAGCTGTGTATAAGAAAATATAGTTTAGGGATTTTTCTTGTGGTTCTTAGCGGTTTTCCTTTTATGTTCTCATTATATTTCCTGAAATGGTTAACAGGGCTGTTTACTTTGTGACCGCTTAAATCCTGCATTCTGTCAGTTATTTCAGAGTAATCAAAAGCTTCATTCACATTCAAGTAAAAGATAAATGAATTGTTTGTATATGAAACAGCAAATCAGAGAAGGAATTCTTGGAAAATGAAAAGTCAGCGATTTGGAATTCTAAATTCTTTCGGAAAGTAAATTATTAGTTTCTTTGAATGTTACCAGTTATGTGTAAGTCAGTTTGTATTTAATCTCTTTCATTCACTGAAATAAAGAATAAAAACAGCCAGGTGTGCCACTACCGAAATATAAATGCAAGTTATTCAGTAATTCTGCCCAGGTGGTAGGATTTTGCAGTCCTCTGTTACCCCTGAATTGTTTCAGCTGGTCAGTAATCACAGAGCCCTCCGAATGGGACGAAGAGGACTTCATGTAGGAATGAAATCCTAGTTACAATAGGAAGGGGCACATTTCTTCTGTCATTGAGTGGGCATCCATATGACTCAGTCTTGTGCCTTCTGCTCCTTGCTGCTGACAGGAAGATACCAGTTATTCTGAATGGCCACATATGCCACTTTAATACCTTTCAGCAGACAGGATCTCGTTTTCTTGATAAATTGAGACCTGGCAAAAGAATCCAGCACTACTGACTTGGTAAGCCTGCAGCTTCTGTCTCCTAGATTTTGTTCCGTTGGGTGGTTACTGGATGCTGTCAACAGCAGCTAAGTGCAGAATTATAGCAGAGGGTTTTGAATTTGTTTCCATGTCTCATTATGATGGGTAAATCTAGGCGCATTGCCACTAATTTCCCTCAAAACCCCTCTCCCTTGCTTCAGACACCTTACCCCATCATTCCCATCACTTTCCGAAGCAGTCAGGAGTCTGTGTTAGCAAGTCGCTGTGAGGAGTGGTTGAGCGGTGCTGCTACCATGCCATCCGGTGAAGGACAGGCGTGTGCTCATCCACTTACTCACCAGCTAGCGCCCCTGGTGATTCTGACTCTTCCCCAGATCAAAAGACCCTGAAAGGTCGGCACTTAGAGTAGATCAGTACATTGAGGCAGCCGTAACATATAATTAAAGACACTCGTTGAAAAGGACTTCATGACTGCTTTAAAAGATGGCAGGAATTACTTTTAAAGTGGGGGGGAGGATTTTGAGGGGACTCTTAGCAATGTGTCTTTCTGTAATTTTTTTATTTAAATATTTACCATCGTGTTTGATCATGCCTGATACATTGCATTTAATAGAATGATACAAAATTTAGGCTCCAGACATTTCTGTAACTCTTTAAATATGAGGGAAGTATTATAGAACACTACTCCATGTCAGATTTACTTCAGCTATATATTTTATTTTTAAAACTGTATAACTCATAATACTCCATAGGATTTGACAGGAATTGTGAGGGGGTTACAAGTATAAAAGTTTGAGATATGGTAATTTTAAGAAGACAAGTTTCTTTTGGTACTAATTCTCAGTATCTTTGATACTCTGGTATGTATCTGTGTTTCTGAAAAGAGATAATTTGGTGTAGCATTTCTCACATTTAAATGGCTATAGATCTTTTTTTTTTTTTTTGCACAACTTGTGAGATAAAAAGTTCCTGTTTGAAAATCCTTGTTCTACTCATTATGGTTAATCAAGTACCAAACATGTATTGGGTTTTTAAAATATTCTGACCACTGTATATAGGTACCATAATATAATCTCTTTTAATAAGGAATGTAAGTTTAAACAAAGTAAGCAATGAACACAAAATCTTAAAGGAATTCAAATATTATACAGCCTACCATAGATATTCATATGGAGAATATTGAAATATTTTCTTCATTCTTTAAGTTTATTGGTACATTATACGTATACATTGTGATCCCACTCATCATTGGGAATTTTTACCTGCACATGATATGTCTTGGTTTTATTTTTTCCCATTCCCCTTCCCTCCTTTCCACTCTTCCATGCCTCTTTTTTCCTCCTTTTCTCATATTTTCCCCTTCCATACTCCATCCTGACCCCCTTACTTCTCCTTACCCTTTGAATCTTTTCTTCCGTTTCACATTATCTTCCTGTCTCACATGGTACATTTTGGTTCTCCTTCACACTTCTAGTTTCTCACACCAGAGAAACAATTCAGTATTTACTCATGGGTGCCCTATTTATTTCACTATTCAGCTATAAATGTCTCTAGTTCATCATTCTTATGGCTGAATGGTATTCCAGTTTGTAAACCACACACACACACACACACACACACACACACACACACACACACACCTTCCAGTTTGTAAACCACACACACACACACACACACACACACAACACACCCACACACACACACACCTTCTTTACCCAGTCAGCAGTTGATAGGCATTTGGGCTGTTTCCAAGATTTAGCTATTATGAACTGTGACACTATAAACATGGGTGTGCATATATATAGCTGTGGTATGATGCTTTTAATTCTTCAGGGAGATAACTGGATCATATAGTACCTGTAATCCTATATATTTGAGGTATTTCCACACTGATTTCCACAGAAGTGGCCCCAGTCTGCTCTCCCACCAACAGTGGAGAAGGGTTCCTTTTTCCTATAGTCCTGCTAGCATGTTACTGGTTGATTTCTCCATAGCAATCATTCCTTCTGGGTGAGGGAGAATCTCAGTTTGTTTTCATCTGCATCTCTCAAAGGATCAGTGATGTTGAACATTTTCTTGTGTTAATTTGCTGTTTTTACTTCTTTGTCTGAAAAATGTCTGTTCATTTCAGATGTCCATTTTTGGATTGGGTCTTTAAATTTGGGAGGTCTGATTTTTTAAGTTCTTTATGTATTCTAGATAGTAGATCTTAGTCTGAGGAACAGTGGTAAATTTTTTCCCACATTGTGGGTTTTCTCTTTCCTCTGTGGTTTCTCTTGCTGTGCAGAAGCTTTTTAAATAAGATCCCAGTTGATTCTTTGTGCTTGTTTGCATGCAACTGAGTTTTTGTTCATAATCTTTTCCATCAGTGTCTTCAAGAGTTGTACCTAGCCTATCTTCTAGCTTTAATGTTTCTGTTTTAGTATTTAGATATTTGATCCATTTCAATTTTAGTTTAGTGAATGGTGAGAGATATGGGTCTAGTTTTAATCTTTGGCAAGTTGAAACCCAGTTTTTCCGCAACCATTTATTAAAGAGTGTGTCTTTCCTCTAGTGGCTCCTTTGTCAAAGACGAGGTGACTGAGTGTGTCTGCAGTTGTTTCTGCATCTTCTCATCATTCCACTGGTCTTCAGGTCTGTTTTTTGGCCAGTGCCATGCTGGTTTCATCTTAGTAGCTTTGTAGCATAGTTTCAAGTGTCTTTGTTGCCAAGAATTGCTTTTGCTATTCGAGGTCTCTTCTCAGTCCAAATGAATTTTTGGATTGTTTTCTCTAGTTTTATGAAATATACTATTGGAATTTCAGTTGGTATTACATGGAATCTATAGAGCAGTTTTGGAAGTATGGTCATTTTCACTATATTTGTTCTTCCTACCAAAGAAGAAGTTAGTGTCTTTCCATTTTCTGATAATCTCTTCAAGCCTGTTTTGCAGAGTGCTGTAGTTTTCACAATAGGGGTCTTTTACCTCCTTCCTTAGATTGATTCCCAGGTATTTCATTTTTGGGGATGCTATTGTGAAAGGAGTTGTTTCTCCAATTCCTCTCTCAGTAGGTTTGTTGTTACTGCACAGGAAGGCTGTTGATTTTTTAGCATAACTTTGTATCCAGCTACTCTACTGAATTAAGTTATTAAGTCTGGAAGACTTTTAGTGAAGTTTTTTGAGTCTTCTGTATAGAATATCACATCATCTGCAAATAATGACAGGTTAGCTTTTTCATTTCCTGTCTGTTCCTTTTATTTCATTCTCTTGTGTAATTGATGTGACTAATGTTTCCAGAAATATATTGAACAGGAGTGGTGATAGTGGACATCTTTATCTTCTGATTTTAGAATGAAGAACTTCAGTTTTTAACCATTTAATGTGATGTTGGCTGTTGGTGTTTCATAGATGGCTTTTATCAGGTTGAGAAAAAGACCATCTATTCCATTATTTTGTAGGGTTTTTAATCATGAAAGTGTGGATTTTGTTGAAAGCTCTTTCTGTATCTATGAGATGATCGTGTGTTTTTTTGCTTGACTATGTTAACATAGTGCATTACATTTACTGATTTGCTTATGTTGAACCATCCCTGCATCCCTGGGAAGACTCCTACTTGGTCAGGACGTATAATCTTGACCATCTTGTGCTTCCTCTTTGCTACTGTCTTACTGTGGATTTTTAACATCTATGCTTATTGGGGAGATTGGCCTGTAGTTCTGTTTTATGGTTGAGTCTCTCTGCTTTGGGGATCAAGGTGATGCTTGCTTCCAATAATGAATTTGGTAGTATTACTTCCCTTTCGATTTCATTGAGTTTAAACAATAGTGGCAGTAGTTCTCTAAATGTCTTGGAGAATTCCACAGTGAAGCCATCAGGACTGAGGCTTTCCTTTGTTGGTAAGTTTTTAATTATGTTTTCAGTATCATTGATTGATATTGGGTTGTTTAGGATTATATCTTTTTCATTCAACTTTAGCAATTCATATATATCTAGAACTGTGTCTAGTTCTATGTTTTCCGTCTTATTGGCATAAAAGTTCTCAAATTAGAACTCTAGATTCTCTGGATTTCTGATGGGTTTGTTGTAATTTCACACTCTTCATTCTTGCTTGCAAGGATTTGGGCCTATTCTTTTTTTGATAAGGTTGGCTAAGGATTTCATTTTGTTTGTTCATTTTGTTTGTTTGTTTGTTTTTGGGGGTTTTTTTGGGTTTTTTTTTTTTGCTGTTTTTTTTTGTTGTTTTTTGAGACAGGGTCTCACTATGTAGTTGAGACTGACCTGGAACTCACCATGTAGCTCAGGCTGGTCTCGACCTCACAGCGATCCTCCTGCCTCAGCCTCCCGAGTGCTGCGATTACAGGCGTGCGCCACCACACCTGGCTTTGTTTGTTCTTTCAAAGAACTAACTCTTTGGTTTGTTGAATTTATTATATTGTTATCTTCATGTCCCTTTCATTAATTTCTACTCTGGTCTTTCTAATTTCCTTCCTTGTGCGAGCTTTGTGTTTGTCTTGCTCTTCTTTTTCTAGGAGCTTGAGGTCCAGCATTAGGTTGTTTTTTTTAACTCTCTCTGTTTTCCTATTATGGGCGTTCACTGCTATGAATTTTCCTCATAAGTCTGCTTTCATTGTGTCCCATAAACTCCGGTATGTTGTATTGGCATTTTCATTATTGGCATTTCATATGTAGAAACTTTCTAATTTGTTGTTTAATTTTCTCTATGACCCATTGGTTGTTCAGCAGGGTGTTACTCAATATCCACGTGTTTATGACATTCTTACAGCTGTTTCTTTTGCTGTTGATTTCCAATTATATTGCACTGTGATCTGGTGATCTACTTAAATATGCTATTTAGAGTGAATTCAAGGGTCATGTTGACCCCAGTTCGTGGTGACATGTTTCATGCCTGTGGCTTGCTTGAATGTAGATTGTGTGACAGTAATGAGAACAAGGTGATGTTAGACTCCCAGAAGGGAACACTGGATTAAACTGTGTTTTGTGGTCACACGTTTTGATTTTAATAGTATGACTGTTTGGGGAATCTTGGTGGGAAGAGTGTCTGTCGGGGCAAACGTAATACTTCTTGGAACAGTTAAGAGCCATGCTATTTGCTGCTAAGAAACTCACCAGAGATAAAATAGTATCTATTCTTGTTGCATTTTTAATGTGTCTTCTTAAGAGTAATACATTTAAAGAATCAAGAAAGTGAATCTAAACTGAATATTTTAAATATATTTGATAATGTTTCATTTCTGTCAGAAAATAATAACTAAAAATCTGGATATCCAGGCATGAGATATTGAGCTAAAATCTTAAATTCTTAAAAAATGTTTGAAATAATTTATCTAATTTTAAATAATTAGTATTGATATGTGTACAGTCTTTATTATTTAAATACATAAAGACCTAAAAAGGAATCTTTGTTTTTTATCAAGAAAGTTTTAAAAAATATGATAGTTTTATATCTTGTCTTACTTGCATAGTCGTGGTGGTGGAAGAACATTTTAGCACTTCATATTAAGGAATACAGTAAAATTAGGGTATGAAAGAAACACTAATTCAGACTTTTTTGAACAAGTCTTAAAGGAAATTATATTAAATAATAAGATGGAGTTATACAAGGACTACAAATAGAGGATAGAGGCAGTGACTCCAAGATAAAAAGAGATGTGATATGGGCTGGGGATTTAGCTCAATGGTTCCACCGCCTGCCTTGCAAGCACAAGGTCCTGAGTTTGATCTCCAGTACCACCAAAAAAAAAAAAAAAAAAAAAAAAAAAAAAAATAGAGAGAGAGATGAGATATATTTTTGAAAGAAGGATTTTGTGTCTGAATTCAAGGAACCGAGGACTCTGTGACAAAGTGTGTGCATGTTGGAAGGTCCAGATCAATAGTGCCCTGTAAGCTGTGTTGTATGTCACTGTAACAGGAAGCTTAAAGGTGATGGGGTGGGGTTGCTCTCTTTGAATGGTCTGTTTGCCATGAGAAAAATATATCGGTAGGGATAATTTTGGGGACCCAGGTGATCAGCTAGAAGGCTTTGGCAATAGTTAGAGAACAGTGTGACGATTTGGTCTAAGGTTAGTGTAGAAATGAAGAAGAATAAATGGATTCATCATAAAATTTGAAGATTGAAATGACAGCTGCTGGTTAGGCTTTAACTATAGAGGGTTAAAGAAAAATAGGAGTCAGTAATAACTGTGGTGTTTCTGTTTTGAATAATGGAGAGTAGTATAGTAGTGACATTTACCAAAAAAGTGAAGACCAATGGAGAAATAAAGGATGTGAAAAACAGGCAGGTCTGTTTTATGCTCACCGAGGCTGCATTTCCTGAGACCTCCAGTGGACATATCAGGAAGTCCATTGACTGTCCAGGTTGGGGGCCTCACTGAATGCTATGATAGAAACAAGAACAGACTAAAATTGAGTTCCTGTTCAGTTCGAGAGACTGCTGTCTGTTCACGCATTGCCATAGCCCTGAGGAATAAGAGTTGAATACAAGAATTTTACTCTCTTATGTATAAGAGATAAAATTGCTACTGTGGAGTTATCTGGTGCTCTTACTGTATTCTCCCTAAGAAAGCTTTCTGTCTTAGAAGCCATCATGTCAAATGTTCTACATCACATTCATTTCACAGTGTAGAATGCTTCCTTTCTCACATATTAAACATGGAGTATTTTTGTCTACCATTTCACAGACATTAAAATGAAATACTTTGTTAGAAAACTTTTTTCTTTTCTTTTTTTATTGACAAAAATGTTGATCTTATTCTTTCATCTGTAAATCTTTGTGACTTGAATTAAGTGAAAGTGAAAATCCTATCAAGAATCTGTGTCTACATTCTTTTTTTCCAATAGGGATGACTGTCACTGCTACTAAAGATGGCTTGGGAATGACTGTTCGAAGCATTATTCATGGAGGTGCCATTAGTCGTGATGGCCGGATTGCCACTGGGGACTGCATTTTGTCCATTAATGAAGAATCCACCATCAGTTTAAGCAATGCCCAAGCACGAGCAGTGTTAAGAAGGCATTCTCTCATTGGGCCTGACATAAAGTACGTATCATTTGTCTTGGGAAGTTGAAGAGTTTTAATGAATTGCTCAGAACCCAACTTTCAGTGGATATTTTTGTTTTAATACAAAAGTTATTACATATTTATTTAACACAAATTATTCCAGAATTAAGTATTTTTGAATAACACTGGATTGTAAATATATTCTCTTGGGAGACTGTCACAGTATTGAAAATTTAAAAACAACATGGTTTTGTGATTTTACTTTTATTTCTGTGGTGATTCTATAACAACTCAAGATGTGAGAACTGCGAGGCATCACTCACAGTCAGGTCATCCGTTCTTCAGCTCCTAGAAAGAAAGTTGAGTTGGCCTCAGTATAAAGCCCTGGGCTCTACCTAATGGCCCTGTAGGAATTGGATAACCATGCCAGTCCAGTAAGGGCCAACCGTGAAAATGTCTTCATAGGACAGTGCACTTCTGACCTGTAACTCACCCTTTTTGAACTGCTTTGGGACACAGAGAGCTCCTCCACTGTGTGGTGCAACATAATTATAGCTCATGCAGGATATTTTGTTGTGAGGTGCTTACAGCTTCCCATTGTCCCATGAAGTTCTAAAGCACATTAATTTTAAGTCCCTAAACATTCCATGTGCCATCATAAAAATGAATTCATGACTTTATTGTTATTCTTCATCCATATCCTTGTAACATTCATTTTTGAATGTATAAGGGGTACATTCATAAAATAAGAGCTCGGGGAAAGATTGCTTAGCTTAAATTGTATAGGAGACTTTTGTATTAATGATATTTTACTGACCACATTCTGTATTAATTGGTTCTTTTGCAAAGCTCATATCGCTAGTTCTCAGGGAGGAAAGCTACATTTACAACCTGTTTGTCATTCTGCTATCAATAAAAAGCAAAAAATAATATATGACATTTCAAGTGGTTTTTGATGTCTTACACAAGGTATTATTTTTAGGCAGAATCTTCACCAATGGCCTTTTATATTTTTGCATGCCTTTTTGACTTACAGTTAAGCAGTTCATGTTACTGTTCCTTAATTATTTCACGGTGATGAAGTGCAGGTGAACATTATTAAAAATTTCAGCCCCTCTCTCATATAAAAACAGAAACTTTAGGTGCTTTCTACCCCATTGACAGCCATTGTTCTGTTCCTTAAAAGATAAGTGATACAGATTCACATGAATACTTTTATTGCGAAGGCTTCAGCTGACACAGATGAGATATAGTATGAAATGCAAATATACTTGCCACTGATTATTAACTTGTTCTATTATAATGTATATGTTGTACTCTGTGTATCGATTCAGGTCCCCTTGCCCAGTTTTTTTTTTCCTCATGAGTTTATTGGTACATTGTAGGTATACTGTACAGTTACATTCATTATTGAGATCTTGTACCTTTACATGACAGGTCTTGGTTCTCATTTTCTGCCCTAGTCCCTGCCCTCCCTTCACCCTCTCCTCCCTTCCCCCTTTACAAACACTTCATTTCCATTTTTTCATTTTCTCATATTTTTTTCTTTTCCCTTATTAGCTTTCCCCTACCCTTCCCACTTTCCCTACGCCTTTAGCTCCTTTTTTCCTATTTCATATTGTCAGTTATCTCATTAGGATCTTATGTACTATTATAGTTTATTCAAACCAGAGAAACTATTCAGTATTTACATGTGTGACTTATTTATTTCACTTAGGAGTATATCTTCAATATGTATCCATTTTCCTATGAATGAATCCAATTTCTCATTCTTTATGGCTGAGTAATATTCCATTTTATAGAAAAACCACATCTTCTTTATCTAGTTTCCAACTGATGGGCAAATGGGCTGTTTCCAAGTTTTAGCTATTACAAACTGTGCTGCTATAAACATAGGTGTGCATATATATCTCTGTGATATGATTCTTTTAATTCTTTTGGAAATATACCCAGCAGAGGGTTAGCTGGGTCAAATGGAACCTCTAGTCCCAGCTCTTTGAGGTATCTCCATATTGATTTCCATAGTGGTTGCACTATTCTGCACTCTCACCAACAATGGAGAAGGGTTCCTTTCTCCCCACAACCCCGCCAACATTTGTTATTGTGTGGGGTCTTGATAGCAGCCATTCTTTGTGGGGTGAGGTGGAATCTCAGTGTTGTTTTCATCTGCATCTCTCAAGTGACTAGCGGGGTTGAACATTTTTTCATATGTTTATTTGCTGCTTTTACTTCTTGATCTGAGAAAAGTCTGTTCATTTCAGATGCCCATTTTTTAATCCGGTCTTTATATTTGGGGGGGGTCTGATTTTTTTGAATTCTCCTAGATAGTAGACCTTTCTCTAAGGAACCCACATTGTAGGTTGTCTCTTAGCTCTATTGGTGATTTATCTTGCTGTTAAGAAGCCTTTTAAAAAGATGAGATCCCAATTGTTGATTCTTTGTGCAAGTTCTCGTGCTGCTGAGGATCTGTTCATAAAGTCTCTTCCTATGCCAATGTCTTCAAGAGTTCTACCTAACTTATCTTCCAGCAAGTTTGGTGTTTCTGTTTTAATATTTAGATCTTTAAACTTCCTGTGCCAATGTCTTCCAGAGTTCTGTTGCCCAGTTTTTCACACTCCATATGCAGCGTGTAGTACTAGCTTTTCTCCTAAGTTCTAATGTCATGCTTAAATTCAAAAGCAGCCAAAAACTAAGACCGTAGTGACATCAGTTTAATATATCAGGCATCTTTGGTCAATTCTAGAGAAGTTTTTGAGGTGCATTTTCAAGCTCAGAAAGTCTTTTCCTCCCTTTTCTTTGTTATGTGTGTGTGCACGTGCACACATGTGTGCATTTTCACCTAACTTTTGACCCAGCAGAATTACCCATTTATGTAGGCAGTGGCCTTATGACCTTGAATGATATCTGAAAATAGCTTCATAAGTAATTACTTTAATATCTCAAGGGACAAAATGTACTGTAGAATTTTACATTATAAAAACTAGAATCCTAGAACTTACCCTCCTCTGAAAGTCAAGCTGTCACGAGTGCGTGCATGCACACGCACCCACTCACACAAGTGTACCCACAAAGCACATTGCTTTCTTTAAGTGTCCCGCCAATGCCCTGATGCAGGTGGTCATTGCTAGACTCATTGAAAAAATAATGGAAATGAAAATCACCCTTACACAGTGCCTTTTCAGAGACAAATACTAGATAATGAGACAATATAGCCATTTAGACTGATCAAGGTTGAGCAGCAGGTTTCCTGCCTTTTGCACATACTGGTTTTGCGCCTTCCTTTCTATTACTTGGCTTTGATAAAGCAAAGGTTTAGAATTACCCTGAAAGCTATTTTAGTAGTCCTCCCAAAAGGATACTGCAGTTGTTTTCATTGCTCTGAATGGAGCCATAGCACTTTCTCAGGCCAATTAAGCTTTGTCCTCGTTGCTTGGATTTGGGCTCCATGCACACCATGTTTTCTTTATTTCTTGTTATAAACCTAGCTTAATCTAGAGTGTTCATAGAGAGGTGTATTGTGGGGACATAAAAAGCTGGTTCAGTTAAATAACTGGTTGGTTATAGGGAAAGCGTTGCTTATACACACACTGCACTGGATTTCTTCATTGCATAGATAGGTAGGAACTCTGTGTGTGTGTGCATGCATGTGTGTGTGCATTCATGCATGCCTGGATACATAATTTGAGTTTCAAAAGTTCAAGAACGGCCAGTTTAAGTTCCAGGTTTTATTATTTTCTGTGGAAAGCCAGATGTGAAGCCTTACCAGAATGCATTTTGTTTCGCTTCTCACTCCACCTTGCCAGGAGCTCTTATGTTTTTGTAATAATAGTAAGGGTTTTGTGCTTAGTAGCAGCTGCTTATAACATCTGCCAGATAATTACTGAGCTGAATCAGAATTCACCTGCCTTAACCTAAAGTGTGGGATGAATTCCTGATCAAGGAATAAAAGATTGATTGCAGTTACATTTTTTTCTATGCTTGTTAATAATCATTGCTATAGACACCAGTAAAGAGCAGATGCTTTTCTGGGGGAGGTGTAGATGAGAGGGAGGTGGAAATGAAAAAAAAAAAAAAACTCCAACCAGGAGCACCCACTTTTAACTACATATGTATGCATGTCACACTCTGCACAAGACATTGACATTTGTTAACACCATTGTAAAAAGATGCCACGGCGTATGCTTCACATTCTAGATTTTCTGCAGCACCTGCTGACGAGTGAGCCCCCTTTTAATGTGTGAGTAGCGGTGATTCAAAAGCTCATTACGGCTGTGTCTTACAACTCATCTCTGAAAACCGTTTCATGCTTTTGAAACATTCCAGTGTAGGTTTAGATCCAGATATAGAAGTAGTATATGCATATGGCTTCTAGCCCTGGTTTATGTAAGAGCATAAATTCCGCAGAACTATGAGATTGTTACATTTCACATTGTAGTAATGACTGGGAATACATTGGAAAATCATTTTTTCCAACTGCTGAGGTTGTGTGTGTAGGCTTGGTCACTGGATTGATAGCTATATTACATTTCGCCATCACTAACGGTATTCCTTTTTCTTCTACTCTGGGTGTAACCAAAGGTTAGTTTACATTTCAGAATTGAATCCAAGTGTCAAGCTGCTGCAGTGTGTTTGTGAGGTTTCCCATTCAGCTTTCATTGTCTGTGCAGTGATGTGGAGTGGTGTGTGGCCCCATGATGAGGCTTGCTTTGGATGCTGTGTGTGTGCCGTGGCGCTGTGGGATGCTTGCTCTGCTGGTCTTGCTGTTTACTTTGTGCCAAATATTCATAAACTGCCTTTTTTGCTCCTTCTCACCACTGCCCAAATTATCAGAAAATTATTTGTAAAACCCCTTTATTCCTACCGTTTTGGTAAAAAAAAACCAGCTTTAAGCAAATTCAGAAGGAAACTCATTTTCAACTTTGAGATAGAAACATCTTTACTTTCTCAAACCAGTTTAAAAACTAATAGTTTGTGCTTATAATTTTTGTTTTTGGCTCCTCTCCTTGACTCCTCACCTTTTCCGATTTTCATTTTTTATTTATATGTTGCTCTAACTCTTCAGAAATAATGCTGCTTTTCTGAAGTAGTCTTTTCAGGTTTTGGGCTTATCTTCATTTTTCTTTGTGTAAATTACAGTCCTCTTTCCTGACATAATGTATTGTACATATTTGATTCATTGCTTTTGAAGGGATAACAGCAAAGTTACTATTCAGTATTTTTTGTAACACCTTAGGGAAGGTGTTTCTTTACATGAATAAATTAAGGAGGGCCAGAATGAGAAAGTACTCTCTTACCCTGCCAGCTATAAATTACAGGTCTGTGTTTTCTGCCTCATTTTGGTCCTTGAAATAAGTAAGTGTCCTGAGAAGATTTGAAAGGGTCTGTGTGTCTGCAGGACTTAGGGTGTAATTCCCAGAGCCGTAGTCCTGCTGGAGCAAGGCCGTACCTTCCGTAGAGCTTGTGTGCTGACAGTGTCCGCATAAAAAGTCACACTCTGCTGTGCTTGAGGTTGTGGAGGTCCAGCAGTGGTGGCCCACCTCCTTCCACACTCCCAGTGATAGCAAACCCAAAGCCAAGCGACCCCACACTTCGGAGAAACGAAGGACTGAATTTTCTGTGGAGGCACAAATGCATCTGAAGTCACGTATCTTTCTTGCTCCAGAAATTATCTCATTGATATAACTTTTATTTTCATAAAATACAGATTTTTGTATCTTTGCTCTCTAGTGCTGAGGTTTGATGTAATTGTTTTAGGGATGAATTGTGGATAATTTAATAGTATTTATTATTTCTACATTGGTCATGTTATATAGATATGTTTTATTAGCTTCAAAAAAAGGCAAACTGACTTCAATTATAGTATTTCTTTTACCTTCCTTTCATCAATTATTGTATCAGCAGTCAACATAAAAAAATGTATCAGTGGTGTAAATAGGCTTTTAAGACAGCAGTAATTTTCATTCATCACGTTCTCAATACTATAGCTTATTCCTTAGCTAGCCCAGTACTTCCACTTAACAGCCATTGGACTTTGGTTGGTACTTTGGAATTAATAAATGGACTTTGAATTGTAAATAGCATGCCTTTCTTTAAAATAGAAATAAACATAAGCAGTTGCTACAAATGAGTCATTCTTTTCTTACATTATGTGGCTTAACTTGAGACTGAGAGTTCATAATTTAATAGAGCTAACCAAGTTACTGAAAATGTTTAATGTTCGTACTTAATTATGTGCTGTGGGCAAAGTAAGGTAATGTATGATACCTAATGTTTTGATAGAGTATGCTAATTTGTTTCTGTTAGGGGACTCAGATAACTTCGGATGACCTAAATGCTATTATTGACAGTTTGTCCAGAATTGTTATTATTGTTGTTATTTTGCAGTGTTGGGAAATCAAACTCAGAACTTGCATGTGCTAGGGAAATGCTTTACCCCTGATCCCAGTGCCAGCCTTCTGAGTCTGTGTGGGTCTTTCTCATTCTGAAGAATTCCTAGGAGTTTTCTCATTTGTAGAGACATGTTCAGCATAAGTGATAGCTACTTTTCTCCCTGTGTGATTATGAGTAAGCACAGAGTTTATTAGCAGCATTAAGAAATGTAATTTCAGTTGTTATTTTGGCCAAAGGAGCATTTTTAACTTTCGAAATTTGAGCTGTCCGATGAGTATGCTGATTAAATGAGTTGTGTGAAGAAGCAGGCATGAGAGGACCATACGTTTTTTTTCTGTTTTGGAAGATTTTCCTGACAGGCAAACCTTTCTTTCTCTTTGCTCTCATGGATTGTGTTTTGTTCCAGAATTACTTACGTGCCTGCAGAGCATTTGGAGGAGTTCAGGAGAAGCGTGGGGCAACAGTCTGAAGGAATAATGGCACTGGATATTTTTTCTTCATACACTGGCAGGTAAGTGAAATATTAACCCTACAATTAATGAAGGACACAGTAAATTATAAAGAAGAATTTGAACCAGAATCCCGGAAGATAAATAAAAGTCTGAGTTTCTTTACTTCTTCCAAGAGTTTTAAACACATTTTCATGATTACTGAAGTAATCATCATATAATCTGAAGAATTTGGGGAATATAAGAATAGTCAAAGGAAGAAATTAAAATAATCTTTAATTCAGCCACCTAAAATAACACTTTCAAAATAATTATTAAATATATCTTCAAAATTTTTTTGTATTTATTGAACATATAAGTTCATAAACATTGTTATTCTTTTTTTAAACTCGTCTAGAGAATGTTGAGTTGAGCATCGTGATATATGTAGGCATGTTATGCTTGAAATAGAAAGTTGGCTTTTCCATAATGAATACACCATAATACTCTCAGTTATAGGTTTTTTTTTCAGATACACTGATAGCTGAATGTCAAGTTTTCCTTTCATAGTTCTGCCATTCCTCACAGGATATCAGAACATCCCAGAATACCTTGGTGTCCAGTGACCCTGCAGGGATCATGATATTGAATTATTGCTTCCTCTGCAAATTTCAGAATTAGGAAACGAAAAGGGATGCTATGCATTTAATAAAGGGAAGGAATGTTAGAGTCTTTGGGGCTTCGAGAAGTTTATAGAAAAGGAGTACTCAATTTTGCACAAACCTCAGCCACACTTCACTATAGAACTTCTATCCCAAGATTAATGGCACGAATTGATTATGGTTTGTTAGTGCTTCTTGTCCCATTTTGAGGGTGCTTAATAAAGTGCTTAAACAGCAGTGCACTGTCCTTCTGAAATGTTTCAAATGGCTGGCACAAAGAACACACCAGGGAACGTCTTACTCTTTGTAAGTTCTGGGGCCTTAAAATACTCAAAAGTTACTGATTAGAAGGAGCCACTTTCAACACTGTGCATCTCTTGCAGCATGGGAAAGAGAGGCCCTTGATTGTCTAATGCTGTGAATATCTGCTGTACCATAGTAGAAGTATGTTTGCTATATATCATGAGGCTTAACACAAAATAAAGCAATCTATGGTGAAAGGAAGTTTCCCAAGTCTTACAGCTAATGAATGTCAGAGTCATACTTAGAATGAAAAAACTTGGACTCTTTGTTCTTAAACATTGAATCCATAGGAAGCATTGCATAAATGTATAAAAACGTGCTACATAAAAATAAGTGGCAACGGAGCATCAGGTTAAGAGTTAGGTTTTGTGGGAAGATGGCTGCAGTTCATTTCTCACAGCACATGACTGACTTTGTCTCAGTTCCTTGACCTTACACATACATGCAGATATAAACAGAGTTAGTGATTATAGTTGATAGAAGTTCCTTTGGTTGTCAGCAGTTTAACATTGAGAAAAGTAAGTCTAATTCTTGGCTGAATGAGTACGGGCAAATGAGAATTGGTCCATTCTGCTCTGAAGAGCACATGGCACTTGAGTTCAGAAGCTGTACTCTAAAATGGGCAAAGAATGCTCTGCACATTTAGAACAGCTTGTCTGGATTAGCAAAGGAATTCAGGATTTTTGAATAATTTCAGGTGATACAGAGTATTTGTCTTTGAGATTAAAAGGCAGGGCTGCAGGGCAGAATGACGGGAGTGTTTCTGAGTATCTCGCAAGGCTAAAACCCCTCCCCACCTCGCAGCTGTCACTGGGTATTTTTCTTCCTCCCCAAATCCCAGTTCTATTTTCCAGGCTTCCTTTTTCTGTCAGACTTTTTCCAGTTACATTTCCCAAGGGTTAAGGTTTCCGCCTCTCTGCCTTCATCCTCTATGAGGACTATTTATCTGGGGCCTTTTGGACATCACTGTTCCAATCCGCTTCTCGGAACTGTTCCCCGCTGTCTGGCCCCTCTGTCAGGCTGAGGCCCCAGGCAGCCCACCTCACCCAGAGCATCTTCTTCACTGGGTTTAGGTGCGAAACTAATAGTAGGCTGCTCACAGGGAGAGCTCATTCCACCCTTTATTTTTGCTAACACGGAGGCCAAAGAAAGGGTGGGATGTTCTGGGGGAGCTGGAACCATTCCTCTGCAGACATGACCACATTTGAACATGGATTATTAGATATTAGATCTGAGTGATTTCTGATCTCAGAGTGTAAAGTGATAGAATCGGAGAGTTCAGTGTCCTGCCAGTGGAGAATGCTTACAGTCTGAACATGTACTTCTTTTGATTTTTTTCAGTTTTAAAAAAGTCACCCGAAGGTGTTTATTAGATCAGAATTTTATAGCCTTCTCTGCTTTAAAAGGACTATACGATACTCTGGTTTCTCTTCAGATCTCATACATCTTTCACCTTTTAAAAGGAGTGTGCACACATGTTTCTTTCGAAATCCAGTTTTTACCAATAACATAAAGACATACCATAATCTATTTATTTATTTATTTGTCAGTGTCTTTTATTGATGCAAAGTTTTTTGTCTTGGAAAGACAAAATAGTTTTTGGTAAATTGTACAGTTTTACTTACAGTCAACAGACAAACACATTTTGTTTTATGGTTGATATCTGGTAAAATGTGAATTTTTATAAAAATTGAAAGTACACCTTCAAGGAGTTTTCTGTCTCTGGGTCCTCTAGATGGCTGAAGCTGGACTAGAAGCACTTCTTTCTTCAGAAGTTAAAGGAACAGTGTGGTCTCCTCTTGAGAAGTGGAGATGCACACTTGCTTGCCTGATTGCTTGAAGTGGGAGCAGAGCAATATGTACTTATAAGCCGAATCATGCCTATGGTTTTATGGCAAATATTAGAAATTTAGGAAATATTTGTTGAATTCTTCCTGAAAATTTCAGTATTTACCTTTTCCTTTATTCTCCTATGTTTTAATCAGGAAACAAAGGCTAGACTAGACTCAGTTTTCAGTTACAGTTCCAGGATGCTACGGATAATTGATTATACTATGAGGGTCTCATTTTATTTGGTTTGATTTTTTCCGCTCTGCTATAAAAATGTATGTGTTTTGGCCAGGTATAGTGAAAATATAAAGCAGTTTGCTTGGCCAGCAGTTAGTGCATGTAAGACAGTGATGCGTGTAGTACTCATTGAGAAACTTGTTTAACCAGAGAAATCCCAGAACTACCAGAGCGAGAAGAAGGTGAAGGAGAAGAGAGTGAACTTCAGAACGCAGCATACAGCAACTGGAATCCGCCCAGGAGGTAAGGACTGTTTCTGTTTTGTACCCACTCAAAGGATATATATGTTTAAAGATAGAGAAGTATAGTTTCAGGTACTGTATTTCAGCTTTCTTCTTGTCATTTGGGCGAGTTACTTAATATTCCTAATCCTGTACTTCTTGTGTACAATGAAGAAAATAATGTATGTCATATGGGGTTAAAAGTAACATATACGCAATGATCTGGCATATAGTATGGACTATATAAAATCAGAGAAAATTCTGCATAGCTAGTTGGCATACATAATATGTTCTGGATAGTTTTAGACATAACACCATTTAAATTGTATTTAGCATTTGTAGAAACTCTATGCCAAGTATGTATTTAAAACAGGTGTGTGCCTCTGTAAGTGAGCAGCTTTGTTAGTAAAAGTTTATCCTAAGTTTATCCTAAACTATGCTCCATCTAGTGCTGCTCCCACATATAATAGAGAAGACACCTTTCTTGAACATGCTCAGATACATCACCGTGTCCCCTAAGGCATGTTGCGATCAGACTCAGAATGTCCCCCAAAGCCTTGTGGAAGGAGATTGGGGCACGGGGTGCCATTGTCCCTCGTGGGATCCACCACCGATGAGCTTAGCAGTGAAGTGTGCTGTTGGAAGGCGGGGCCACCGTGGTGGGGGCTGCTTTCCTCTGCCCAGGCCTTTCCATCTTGGTGTTTCTCTGTAAGCCTGCTGAACATGGACTGAAACTGTGAGCCAGTAGAACCTTTCGTCCTTTCAGTTGCAGTTGTTAGGTATTTTGTTCCAAAATGAGGTATGTAACTACTGCGGCACATAAACACATTCATACTAAGTAAAATCAACTTGAGTTTGACAGGACACCATGATTTGTGGATAACAGAAAGTGAATATGATCACCGCTTGGCCTTTTGGAAGTAAATATGCCTCCCAAACCCAGCCTCAAAGGGCTTACTACGTATTTGTCTGGGCAAGCTATAGAGACAGAGGAAACAATTAAAAATGATACAGAATATTTTGCATTAATTGTAAAATGTAAGTGATCATTTCATATCCCTCAAAACAGACTAAATGTAACAATTTTGAAGTTGCCTTGTTCTTCGTAAACATTAGTGTTTGCTACACAGTAAAAACAATACTCTAGAGATGAAATATAGCTTGTGATTCTTTCCTTGCTCAAAATAAACTTGACCCTGCAGTCTTTCTATTTAAACATTTTCAAAATATGCAAAGCATCTTACGGTGCTGTAAGAAAAGTAGCAGTTCCAGTCATCCCAAATTAGTTTTGAATTTGAACTTATGCGATTCAGCTTTTAAAAAAATTCCAGGTCTCCCCAAAGCTCTGCCCACTTCGAGAACACAATGAACACGATGTAAGTGGTAGACCCATGGCACAGCTATGAGGTATTAAGTGTCTTATGTATTTGTAGACTGAGGAAGAAGTAAGTTAGATGAAATTATTTTGTTACACATGGTCATAATTTAACATAAATTTTGCCAGACAAGAATGACAGGCAAAAAGATATGTTGGTTGGTTTTAAGAACACCATAGCAGGCAGAATAGTCTGTAGACAGCAGTAAGCGAAATGATTGGGGTCAGTAAGAGCTTTGACGTTTTCTAAGACAAATTTATTTCTGCTAGGTCTTGACTACTTTGTTACCAAAATAGGGCCCATAACAGACCCTTGTAGGGCTTGAGGGAGAAGTGGGTGAGATAGCATAGCTGAACCCTGCTGCAGAGGGATGATATTCAGTCACCAGGGCCAGCCTGGGATAACACAGTTTTGAACACTTAATAGCTAAGCAAAGAAGGAGGAGGCTTTGAACCCAAGAATCACTATGGACTTTTCTTACAAGACTGTATTCCTTTCCTAAGCTTTGACATTCACATCAGCCCAAGAAGCTTAACTGCTTTACGTGAAGAAAATGTTTTAATCCCTCTTTTAAAAAACCTGCGCTCCATTAGTGTGTTAGAAGTGATGTGTTAGTTTTTGGGGAAAGTTAATAGACATAATGAGGAAGCATAACAGAATCAGTAGAGTCTTTGGCAATTAAATCTTATCCACTCATAAAATCAACATATATATATTCTTTGTGTGAAGATAGAGAATGCATTTTAGCAGAGTGTTATTGTTAAGACTCCAAAATAGTAGTTCATTTTTGTGAGTAGTTTTCGTTTATAGAATTGATAGCGAACTACAGGTAGTTTTGCAGCTTGCTCAGTTTTCCCCTCAGTCTGATCTTCTGGATCAGACTAAATCCCTAGTTCATTCAGCTTAGTTGTCTTGATTTCCACCATGTGACTTGGCCATTCTTTGTCCATCCTCAGGTTGATGTTTGAGTAGGTAATAGTGACTTGCTGTTATAATAATTCTACATAATAATGTATCTGTATTTCTTTGGGCAGATTTAGAGTATATGTCTAGAAGCATAATTACTGGCTCGTGGTTTATGTGTAATTTTTACTCATTAGTTAAGCTGTTCAGCTGCTCTTTATGAGGGTTGTGCCAACCTTTATATCTCTGTCCCTTCTGTGAGCTCCTCTTTCCCTGTCCCTTGTTAGGACACAATGGAGTCATTCTTTACAGAATGTTTTGTCATTCTGATTGGTGAAAATTGGCACCTTTTCCTAACAAATAGAGCATAACTGGATTAGTTGGACGTGGTATCCATTTGCTCACTTGTCATGTTGTTGAAGAAGAACCGTCATCATCATAAAAGGTTTATTGGGTGTTTACTATGTGGCAGTGCCTGATTTGCACTTGGTGTGTTGAGTGATTTAATCATCTCACAGATCTCTGTGGCAGAGTCCTTTACTGACACTGTTTCACATCTAAGAAAGAATGAGACAGACTAAGCAAGGTGTGCACTGTTTCATGATGACCATGTTGAGAGGCAGAGCAGGGTGAGACCAGAACCTGGAAACTTGCTCGTTGCCTAGAAAGTGTGACCTCAGAGTTGTGCTTCACCTTTGCCTTTCTGAATCATTCTTTTTAAGCCTATGTATAAAGCTCCGCATTTCTTCTGTGGAATTAACTGTGATGTGAAAATACCCTATACATCGTTTGATTTATAGTTTCATTTTTTTTCCCCAGAATATCTACTGTGTTCTGTCCCATGTATGATGAGCTTGGTTCCTTGACACTCTGGTCATTTCAGCAGCTCTCTCTCTAAGTTGCTTTTTCCATAGCTAAGGATCCACATCTTTTAGTTGTAGGCAGCATATTTAAAATTTTGCTATCTGTGCCAAACTCTTAGGAGAGAATTAAGGTGCTGTTGTCCACAGGTTATTTTACCTCTCAACAGTTCTTTCCTTCTTTGTACAGTGGGGCTGATCATGAGTACGAGAAGAAACTGTAATCCACTTAAAGCATAAGCATGAGCCCTTAATAAATGTTAACTGTTATTGCTAGGATTTTGTACTATTCCAGAAGTTACCTAACTAGCAGGTGCCCAGGAGATGTTTTATTTCCTTCTTTGCTCCCTCCCTTCCTTTCTTCCTTTTAAGAGGAAACATAAATATTTCTATTTACATGTGTACTCTGGCTTCTTAGAAATGGACCTGAAGTGGCTAAAGTTGCTGACTTGTGTGGTCTGGCAGTTTACCTTAAAAAATGCCTTAAGAAACAGAAGAGGATACTGATTTTTTTTTTTTCACAGAATTTCTAGAGTGAGAGAAAATGATGAATAGAATTTTGACTAGTTTATTCGTGAAGATTGTATAAGATCAAGGCAAGGATCATGGTAGATTCTTTAAAACTAAACTGGTAAAGTTTCTAAGATTATAGTTTCCTGTTAAATAAAAGTACTGACCAAAGGAAAAATGTGTCTCAGCATTTGTGTTTATCTGATTCATTGAGAACCTCCTCTTTTATCTATGATGCACTTTAATCCCCAGTCTTTTATTTTTGGATATCCACTCAGTTCTCAGTCCTTGTTTGACCTCACTTGCTAAGGCCGAGGGCACATTTGACCATGCTGTCTTCTTACTTATTGGCCAGCGTCATTTTCTTTTGTGCAGCTTGGAGCAGACTGCAAGGGTTTAGCACTGATCTGGTGCATCGTCTCAGACAAACACCTCTCCGCAAATCACCTTACTCTTACATACCTGCCTGTGCACTTTAGATGTGTAGTTTCAGTTGCTTCATAAGTCTTACAGCTATTTGTAATTACACATGATCTTTTGTTTACTCTCTGAGTAGGGAAGTGCATTCAAGACAGGCAGTAGCTGGTACCAAAGGCCCATTGCTGGAGCATATGCTATGAACTTGAAGCAAAAGGAAGGAGCTGATGTGTGGCTGGATTGGAGAGAGCAAAGTTTGGCTTAGGGAGGTAGAAGAGGGATCAGATTATGTGGGATTTTGTCAGCCATTGTTCTTCATGCCCTGACTATTAATGAACAGGTCTGCTTTGACAAGAAAGATTTTGCAAAGGCAGGCCTCTAATGTAGCGTGTGCAGGAGTGTTCTTCCCTTGATTTGGCTGCTGAGCTTTGAAGCTACCATCTGTTCAGTGGTAGCTAAATTCACTGACTACTTTGTGCCTGTAATATTAAAGCTCCTGCAAAATGGTACTTTTACATCGGCCTGTGTCCCAGCCTGGATTGTGAGTCCATTGTTTACTTAGATCAGCTGCATACATACACTAGCATTTATCAGGCCCTACAAAGTGCATATTAGGAAAGCATTTTAAACTGTCTTCTTTTACTACCGGTATACCATTATTTTAAAGGCTTTGCTTATTATTATTTTTAACAATTTCAGTCATTTTTGTACCTATAGTTCATTGGTATCAAGTGCATTTACATTGCTGTAAGTGATACTACCATCCATCTGCAGAGCTTCAGTCATCTTGCAAAACTGACCCTCTGTGCCCAGTAAGCTGGAAAGTCCCATTTGTCCCTCCTCCCACTCCCTAGTAACCACCATTGTACTCCTCTCTAAAAATTTGACCTCTATGGGTTCATATTCATGGACTCATATGGTATTTTTCCTTTATTTCATTTAACATAGTGCCCTCAAAATTTATGCGTTGAAATAGTTTTCAGATTTTTCTTCATTTTTAAGGATGAATAATAATATACTCTGTTATGTATTATTTTGTTTCTTCCTTTATTTTGATGGGCAGTTTGGTTGTTTCCACCCTTTAAATATTGTGAATAAAAAATTCTTCTATAATGTAAGAGCAGAAAGTATCTCTGTGAGACCTTGTTTTGAATTCTTTTTGGTATACAACAAGAAGTAGAATTACTGAATCATATGGTTTTTGTGTTTTTAATTTTTAAAAGTACTACTTCCATAATAGCTGTACCATTTTGCATTCCTACCAAAAATACATGGGTTCCCAATTTCTCTGTATCCTCCTCAGTGCTTGTTACTTTCTGCTTTTTTGATAGTTGCAATTTTAATAGGTATGAGATAGTATCTTATTGTATGTTGACATATACATGTAACGATTAATGATAGTAGGCATCTTTTCATGTATTTATATGCCATTAATATATCTTCTTTATAAATGTCTATTCAAGTTCGTTGTTCATTTCTTAATCTACTTGTTTGTTTGTAATTGAATTTTACAAGTCCTCTGTTTGTTCCAGCTGTTACTCCCTTTTCAGATTGTGATTATTAGATTTTATTTACCTCCTGTGGCTTGTCTTTTTACTCTCTTGGTGGTGTCCTTCATACAGAGATTTTCATTTTGATTGTTCCAACTTGTTTTTTATTTTTTCCTTTGTCAGCGCCTTTGGTGGCATATACAGGATGGCACTGTAAAATCCAATATTAAGAAGTTTTTCCTACATGTTTTCTTCTGAGTTTAAAAATTTATTTTTTATAGGGTTGAACTTTGGAGAGAACCGAGCAAATCCTTGGGCATCAGCATTGTTGGTGGACGAGGGATGGGGAGTCGTCTAAGCAGTGGTGAAGTGATGAGGGGCATTTTCATCAAGCATGTTCTTGAGGACAGTCCAGCCGGGAAGAATGGGACCTTGCAGCCCGGAGACAGGATAGTAGAGGTACCCTCACGAGCTTTCTGTGTCGGGACTCTTCCCCTCTGCCACCTGCTTACCAAAGGAATTGCCATCTGGGTACTATTACACTGCTCACTGTTAGAGAAAGTATGTTTGTGTTTAAAACACCTCTTTCCATCCTTCATTTTCTCCTACGTATATGATGACACACTGTGGATCTCAGTGTAGAAGCTGATGCTTAGGAATATTGCCAACTAGCTTTTAAGATATTGGCCCCACAGTAAAATAATTATATCTGCTTGAAAGAATGAAACAGATTTCTTAGAAAAGTTGAATTGTTTAAAAAAGTGTATATATATGTAATTATATGTCATATATAATGTATATATCATAATATATAATGTACACATCATAATTAAGTTTTCCAGCAGGATTTATTTTGAGAAATACTTTATCATTTCAATGAGGAAAAACTTTGTTGGGTGAGATTTTATTCCAAGTAAATCTTTATTGTTTATAAAATCTTCAAACACTAAGTTCTTGATTACTGTTTATAAATGTTTTCCTCCCAGTGCAGTCAGGGGGGATCTTCTCTCAGTGACGTGTACCCTGACCACTGCAGACACTGCCTGTTTGCACATGCTTGTGCACCTGTGCATATTATGCGTGAGATGGAAGTGTGTCATCAGTTTGTCCCTGATTCCTAATTCAAAACAGAGTCTGGTGTTCTAAGCGTACTTTTCTCACATGAGTCGCACACACATTTGCTCTGTGCTTGTTCCCGGAGGATCTGTGTCATCGCAGGTGCTGGGGCCGGGCTCTGGATGACCCACCGTAGATATGGCGTCCCCTGCCGGCAAGGAGGCTGCCGTGCAGGCTTCTCCCTTCAGAGCGGTAGCCAAGTACAGGTATATTTAAAATGGTGCAAAATAGGAATTGACCCAGATTTTCCGATTTATGGAGTAAACTGAAAGTGACAATTTTAAAATGAAGACAACTGTATTACTAATAATTGCCATTGTAATTATACAACTGATTGCATCAATTTCTAAACTATATAACATGCATTAAAGTGCCATATTGTTTAAATTTTATCCATAATGACTTTAAAATGAGGATTTATTTACTTATTCCTTTACTGCTTGTCTCTGAGAGGCAGAGAAGGAATTTATTGATATTTGAGAGGCAAGCAGAGGCCCTGTCCCTTCCCTCCCCACTACGATCATTTATAGGGAACAATCATGAGCTGTTTCTAACTGCTGCATCCTTAGCTTCCTTTAGGTTTTGTATTGGCTCACTTTGAAATAATTCTTTGTGAGTTCAAATTTTAGCCATTGAAAAGTTTATTTCATACATTCTTTATTATTCTTTAGCTTAAATAGAAAATTAAAAGTATTATAATTATTTCAAGAAAACATTGGTCATAGTTTGTCCCAAAATATTGTTTATATGTATTGAGTTAAAATACACCTTTCATGTTGAAAAGAGAGACCATTAAGGAGTAGCCACAGCTGAGCATGGGTGGTGCCGACTGGTACCTGTGTAAAAAGGCTTTCCCACTGCCCAGATTGCTTTGGCCCCTGGACCACAGGGCTCTGACCTCTGCCTGTGCTGAGAAGACCTGAAAAGGAGAGCAGGTCCACAAAGTAGTGCTCTGTTCTGAGTATAGCGCAAGTGTGGAGTTACACTAAGATATCTAGCATCCTGTTAAGTTTTCCCACTAATGGAATGTATGGTAAACACATAGTAGACAGGAATACTGACCTTTGTTTTACAATAACCAAAACTTTAAAGCCTTTTTTTTTTGGTACTAGGGAATCAAACTCAGGCCCTCGTGCTTGCAAGGCAGACAGCAGAACCACTGAGCCAAACCCCTGGCCCTAAAGCCATTTTTAATGTTTTGTCACCTGTGTGTCAACTTGGAGATTTTCAAGTAAAGTAGTAATTCTTTGTGATTCTTCAAAGATGATGATGTCCTATGCCACCATCTGATAATTGACTTTCTGTTCCACAATTGTGTCCACTCTGAGCTTCCTTGGTAATTGGGAATGATAAAATGGCAATATGAGCTACAGTTTTCTGGCAGGATTAGCATTTGGTTTTAACTATTTTCTTCCTTGTTCATGTAGTATATAAGCTGAACTGATCATCATCTAAATGGTCGGTCATCATTAAAAAATCGCAGAATAACTTGTACTTTCAAACTGTTCATATAAAAATTACTAACAGATGAGCACATCTTGGCTTCCAGCTCATGTCATGTCTGTTGCAAAGATTCTTTTACAAAACTAACCTTACTGTGATCTGATTTTTCTAAATAGCACAGTTTCATTTTTAACTTGAAGTATCCCAGTATAGAAATATACAAAGCATCACTTACCTCCTCCCAAACTCCTCTAAAATGAATTAGAAGAAAATCAATATGTGACTTTCATGATGAAGATAGCGCTGCTAGTCCCTTTTATTTTTTGTTTTAGTCTGTTTTATTATATCTTTATTGATGCTGATTTATTAATTTAAAGGAACAACTCAGCAATGTTAGGAGTACAGAAACAAACTGCTAACAGGTGATTACTATTTCAGAAATCTGTGTCCAAAAGAAGTCTGCTAGTCAGATGAGAAGTTTCACAGCCTTAAAAGTAGTCTCAGTTCTTGTAGATACTGACGCAAATTTTGCAGGAGCCTAATGGAGGATCCTCAAAACCCCAGATCCACAAATTGTTCTTCTATTCTGTAGCTTCTGGAATGTTAAGCTGAGGCCTTCCATTGCAGGTGGATGGAATGGACCTCAGAGATGCAAGCCATGAGCAAGCTGTGGAAGCCATTCGGAAAGCAGGCAACCCAGTAGTCTTTATGGTACAGAGCATTATAAACAGACCAAGGGTAAGCGAACATAAAGGGCAAGGTAGGCATATCCAAACAGCGCTCTACGCGGAGCCTCATTCAGCAAGGGCCAAGCTCTCTGTGTGAGCACATATGGATTCATGAAGTCCCAAAAGACTTATTAAGATTTTTTTGCTCTTTTAAACATCAGGTTATCTGGGAAATCCCTTTCACCATGTTTTATAGTCTTAAAGTCTGTTGAAAATGCATAGAAGTAGGATTTATTTGTTTTCCTAAGTGTCTAGATGGTTACTCATATTCATTATAGTCACAAAATACACAAATTGTTGAAAGGCCTGTGGTGTGGTCATTCATGTTAAGTCTGTGATCTCTATAGAGCCCCTTGGAAGCCAAAAAGATTACATTTCCCTTAAATTTATTCTCCAGACAGAATCTGCCGTTAGTGTGTAGTCAGATCTCTGACCTATTTGTGCATCCCACTGAACAGAGTTTCACAGAATGGATTTTGTTTATTACAAGTAATTTTATAATTGCTGTTATTGGCTGTAATCACCATATAGCTCCTGGTGGGCAGAAACCTGCTAATCCATCTTACCCTCAGTTGTCAGAGGCAGAATAGCTTTGAAAACATTTTAGAAAATACAGGCACATCTAGTGAACATTGATCATAAAGAAGAATTCAGATGAGGCTTCATGGATTTAATATGTCCTAATGATGGTGAAGGTGAAAATTAGAACACAATTTGAAACGTTTTTTTCCTATTGCTTCTGTATGCTTCTGAAAAAGTTTTTTATATGCAAGAGTTCCTAAATATATTTTTGTTGCATAACAAAATTCTTTAAAAACATGGGTGCTCCTCAGAAGTTTTCATACTATTTTAAGAATTTCTTAGCTTCTTAGAGCTCTCAGTCACTGCTTGTGGATTTAACAACCTCTGTTCTACTAATTCTCTTTGAATTATCTGCTTGTCTTTAAGGTTGATTGTCTTTAAAAGAAAAACATCAACATATATGAGGGAAGTTAAAAGTATCATCTAAAATTAAAAAAATACAGTTTTATGTATAAATACTTTGAATTTAACTTGTAAAATTAAGATATCAATGCTCACATAATGAAACATCTGTGGATGACATTAGCAAAAGTAATATTGGTCTTCTGTGTCATGGAGCACAAAGTAGCCAGGTATATTTCACTGGTCCTTCCTTTATTCTTAAGGCAGGTATAGCTCTGGTCGTGGTTCCTTTAAGGAATGAATTTAGTAGTTTTTAAATAAGCAGTTTCCTTCACATCTGCAGTTTTTAATCATTCGGTTGCTTATTGTTAGGTAATAATTATCCATTCAGATAGAAAATCTGCCAAGTGGTAGGGCTGTATCATGCTGCATTCTTTACAAATCCATTCAGTTTGTTTAAATAACTATAAATCCTTTTACATTTGTTTCCATTTGTTGTATCAGACACAGACACAGCATGGTGTTGTTGCTAAATGGCTGTTTAAGTTAAAGCTTTTTGTGTGTGGGTGAGTTCTATTCCTTTATTGTTTTATCTTTAATTTCCACCTTTTCCATCTTTTGGGAGAATATTATAATTGATGAATAATGGTTCTTAATATTACTCTGAAAAGTTCAATTACAAACATTTCAATCAATGGCCACCACGTTTTCTAATGAGCCTAGAAAGATACTGTCTGATACACCTGGAAAATATTACTGTTTTATTATGTAAGGTATAATGACAACTAATTTTTAAGTAATTATCCCAGGATAAATCTTGGTTGAAGTGACATGTTTAGTTACATTATGTACATTTTGTTTTGGGAAATAAGAATTAATTTTGCATTTAAAGTGAAATATACTTTGTTTCCAGGAATGTACCTCCCTGTGGAAATAATCATGTCTCTAGTAATATAAAGCAAAATAGGAAAAAACACAAATTAGTGGTGAATGTTTTCTCTGTGAATGGAGGATAAGGCTCTTGGGAATCTTGTGTGTAGCCGATGGACTGACTGCTCTTGTTGGCCCTTAGGTTGGTCATGAGTCAGAACCTCCCAGCCAGTCCTGATCACTGCCACATTCGGCTCCCAGGACTTAGTATGGCCCCCTGATACCACTCGTGGGCCAGAGAAAGTTTTCATCTTCCCTGAAGTTCTTCTCAGTTAATAATGTTTCTGCTTTTATCAGCCCCTGAGAATACAGACAGCTTTGTCTTTAATTTTTTTAATAGCAGAAAACTATTTCTGTCTTTTCCTAAGAATAGAGTGACCTACTGTTTCCTCTGCCATTCTCATCCTGTCCCTTTATACATGCCATCAGGGCCAAATTCTAATCCTATGAGATCTGCAAATTTTAACAACAAAAGAAAAGCAACCAAAAATTACAGATCTCTTTAACTATTCTATTTCTTGCTTTTATGGTTTTGTTTTCTGTTGTGCTACATAATTACAAAGGACACTTGAAGTAGAAAAATACCATGTGTGAAGATTGGAAATAATCTCTACCCTCAGTGTGTGGAATTATTTTCCTTAGGATTTGGTTTCCATCTCTGCCCTGTCATCGCTTCCATTTTAATAAATGGTCATGTTCCTTGGCATTTGTGATACTCCCTTTTGTAAAGCAGGAGTTGACATTTTAAACTGAATTGGAGGGAGAAAGTCGAGATGGGCAGAAATGTCATGGTGCCCGTATCTCTCTCCCTGTCTTCCCTCTGCAGAGGAGCAGATTGAAAGGGTAATGTAGCATACGCTTTGGTACGAGCGCACGTGGACACAGTCTTCCCAGCGTGTTCTTCCACAAGGAGTGGGGTCACATGACAACCTCTCTATGCTCCACCCCTGCCAGTGGGACTTTTTTTTATAGACAGAAGTAATGTAAACATTTAATTGGAGCCAAAATGAATTTTAAATGTCTACAGTTTCCCCTGAAAGATATAGTCAATAAAAGAAAAAGATAGTGGGTGTGAAAAAAAAGGAGAAGAATTTATTGTGCTAAGGAAATTAATTTTTTTTAACTATAAGAATGCTAAATTCTATCTGGCAGGCATCCTGCCTTTAATATGTATATTCAGCTCTAACAGTCCTGACTCAGGCAAATCATTAAATCTGTGAAATGCTCTAGAGCAGGACTTCAGATACTGTTCAAAGCCTGTAAATTACCCAGTAATATGGGAAATTTTATAGGAATTTTGTTTTAAAATATGAATCATCATGTTCCTACCTTTACAGAAAGTGAACACCACTATAGACTGGTTTATTTCTCCATGTTTTTAAATGTATTGCTGTGAAGCAGCCTTAATATCTAGTTAAAATTGGAAAACAAAATTAAGGAATAATGAAGGTTATGCATGAGCTAACAGATAAATGTTCATTATTCTTTCTGGAATATATAGACTTTTAAAATAATATAATTGGCTTTTAAATATAAATAAAAGAAACTGGATAGCTTTAATTTGAAATGTGTTGATATTCATAGAGTATAAATTAATATATAAAGTAAGTAAAATATGTATGTCTGTGATAGAAAAGCTATTCAGTGAAAATGACTTTGGGGGTCACATGACCTTCCAGTTGATATGTAGCTTGTGCACTGATCTATGCTCCACTATCAGTGTAGGACATAACAGGCAAGCCTTCAACACAAACTTAAGATGATGCCATCAGTTACTAGATACATAGAATCTAGTTTGACACACAGTTCTTCAAATCAGTAAGTATTGTGTTATAAAAACTGAGTTGTTTTAAGTACATTTCTTTTGCGCTCAGCGCCTCTTATGTTTCCTTTTAGAAATCCCCTTTGCCTTCCTTGCCGCACGGCCTTTACCCTAAGTACAACTTCAGCAGCACTAACCCATTTGCTGACTCTCTCCAGTCCACTGCTGACAAGGTTGGATGATGCCCGTTGTCTTCCATTGCCTTTTGCAAATGTTTTGTTCTCTGTTACTGTGCTTTGTCCCAGTTATTGTTTACATGTGGCCAGGAAAAAAAATCAAAACTAAAAAAACAACAGTGTGTTTGGAGTGGGCATGTGAATTTTCTGTGGGAAATTATTTATTTTTATGGCTGAAACTAAGTAGTCTTTTCTGAAGGGGAAGGGAGTAACCTGAGTCCAGTGCCTTTCCTGAATTTTAGTGTGATTTAAATTTTCTGATACTCAGATTTTTGTTAATTGCCAAGTGATCTGCTTTTATATAAAACTTTTAAAACCTTGTATTGGTTTAGAACCTTTCAGACTTCACAAGATTGCCACAGAGCTCTTCTGTGAGTCAGTTGTTCCATAATAATTGTATAGGTATACTCGCGGGAAACTGTTGAATATTCATCCAGTGTGTCTGTGTAATTGCCTGAGTCAGGCAGCTTAACTGTTTCCAGGCTTGTAAGTCTACACTTGGATAGTCTCATAAGCTGATAAATTATAAAAACCAAACAAATTTATAAGAACTTATATACCATAATTTGATCATGGAAAGGAAGAAAGCTGTCACTGATTTATTTTAGGACACATTTTATGAATATTGTAATATAGATAAGTGAAGATGCCATTTCTGAAGAAATATGTTTTTATTACTGTAGGAATTACAGAATTCAAGTAGAATTATCTTCCACTGTTCCCCAACTAACCCTTTTGCTCCCACACCATTTAAGGTTTGTCTTCAATGTGAAATTTTTCTAAGTGAGTGTGTTAAAGTGTGTTCTATGTTTGTGTTATACTTAATGTATATGTAGATGTTATGGAGTGATTTCAAGTACACTTTGCATTTTTGCCAAAAAGTACTAAATGATCTTTGTTAAAGACTTATGTTTTCCTCAGTAAACTTTAGGGAGTGTTAATAGCAAGGCTGTTAGATCTTGATAAAATGAGGGTACCAGTAGTGGTAAAATAGAAGACCTTATTTTCCCTCAAGTAAATACAGGCTGATATTAATTTTGTGGCGAATCGACTATGTTAGGTACCATTTCAGTTTGTCACCAGTATGAAAATGGTGTGCCTAAGATCTTGAACAGCTTTTAAAATAAGCATGTTTTGTTTCTTTTTCTTAAAGAAAATAACATTCGAAAACTTACACAACAAGATTTGCATAATGTGTATCCAGAGATTTATTAAAATAAATGGAGGTTTAATTTAGATTTTGTCACACTTTTTAAACATGAAATGGACTCAATTCAGTCTTGCTAAATAACACTTTCTATTATTACAGAAAAGTAAGTTTTCTTCAAAATATCTGAAGTAGATCTGTTGTAGTTTTGGAATCTTGATAAGATCAAACGAAGTTTTACATGTTTGTTCATTTTTATTTGTGCATTATTAATGAGACAGATTTAAAGAACCACACTTGGGAAGATAACTGAAGTTTCATTTGCACTAGGAACTTTCTTCTGCTTGGCCAGTGTCATGTAAACTGAACATTTTAGTACAGCAAATGCTGTAACCTCAGAATTGATTGCCCTGCTGCCTATCAGCTGTTTCTGCCAGATAATTGAGGGCTTTCTCAGTCATCAAAGAGAGATCACATTCATGTCACATTGTTTTAGAATATTTTGTGGTATTCTGATTTTTGGCACCAAAGTATTCCTAACTCTGCATGGATATCATTTAATATATTTGTATTATTAGATGTAGTATTTTCTTTAAATTACAAGTTATGTGAGATGTTTTTTATTCAGAAAAAATGTAAATCAAAGGATGGAAAATGCAGGTTGAAAGCAGTAGGAAAAGCTTCATACAAGGGCACATACCTGACCCAAGTCATGTGCTGTCTTACTGTGGTGATCAGAGGAGACAGTGTTGTCATGCAAAGTGCACCAGTGGAATCTAGAGTTAAGCGATAGGAGGCCGAGTACCACTGGGTGATTTTTGAAGGAAATAGTTCACTTCCTATGACCTCAGGTTCAAAGAGTTTACTCCTGTGCAGAAAGCACAGGCTTGGTGAAGTAAAGAGCTTCAAACACGCTCTGTTCTATAAGAGCTAATACAAGAGAATGCCAGTCTTGTTTCTTAAAAATAGGACCTTTGGTCCTAAGGGGCAGTGAGTATGTCACACCCACTTGTGTTTTCTCATTTTCCTGGTGAATGAGAAAGGTAGTGTTGCCCCTTAGCAGCATGCCCATTGGGGTCTGTGTGCTTTGTACTCACAGCCTGAGCCCTGCTAGCTGAGTCCATGTGTGGAGTGCTGTTTCTTTTGCATGGATTTGTTGAGAATCACTTGGGAGAGGATTCAGGTAGCAATACAGGTCTGGTTATATCTAGACTCACTCACGGGTTTTGAAGAACAGTCTCCTCGTTTCTCTCCTCTTCCGCTTCCTCCTCTGTAATCTTGTCCTTCTGTTCCTCCTCTTCTTTCTCCTCCTTCCCCTCCTCCTTTTCCTTCATCTCCTCTTCTTTGTTTTGTTTCTTGACAGACTTTTCCAGGCACAGACCCCTCTGTATTTATACATTTTGAATAAGAATCTTTTTTTTTTTCCCAACAGGGGAAGTTTTAACACTTTTCTATCTTAGGTCCTTTAAGCTTTCAAATTGAATTCCTCATTGGCATAATAGCACATAAGACCTTTATAAGGTGTGTTCTGGTGCTATTTTGTAAATTTAAAGTTTACCTGAATCCTACCTAGCATTTTATGTATGCATATATGAGCTTTCCATGGTTTAGTGGCTATTTTAAAGCCAGTTTTGGGCCGAGGATTTAGCTCAGCGGTTCTGCCGCCTGCCTTGCAAGCGCAGGGACCCAAGTTCAATCCCCAGTAGCAAAAAAAAAAAAGCCAGTTTTGTTTTGTGTGTGTGTGTGTGTGTGTGTGTGTGTATGTGGTTTTTTGGTTTTTTGTTTTTTACATTGTTCTGCTGGATTTCTTGTCCTTAAAAGTTTTGTTCCTTAGACTGCACAGACCCACAGCATTCTTCTTGTTCCCACAGGCACCCAGCCACTCAGAGCCAGAGCCAGAGCCAGAGCCAGAGCCAGAGAAGGCTCCAGTGTGTGAAGTTCTTCGGCCCTCTTCTCCAGCACTTGCAGAAATGGGCAGTGATCGTGCACAGACATCTGCAGGCACCATCTCCGAGGATGTGGACAGAGAGGATGAGTTTGGCTACAGCTGGAGTAAGTTGTCTTTCTGTGACTCATTTAATCACAAGCAGCATTAAAATAGCTGTGAGGTTCTCAGAACTTATGTCTGCTTCAGCTTCAGCGACTCACACTGCCATTGTGTGTGGGGAAAAGAACTGTTTGTTTTAGTTGAATACAACATACATTCCTGAGGCATAAAATCATATTTTTCCTTTCCTTTAAAACTTCATTGCTGTTAAAGCCCCTTTGCTTCTCATATGAGAACTGAAGAGGACAGAGCATTTTCTCAGTGCACAGAATCAGCTGTCTGCTGATAATTACCCTGAAACTCCTGAAAATTTCTGTGTAGTACAGTGACATAGTACAGTGGTTGATATGAAAACTGACCCTTTGTTAAGTTTTTTAATGACGTCCAAGTTTTAATCCGGTGATTATTTCTTTCTAAAAATACTGTTCTTCCCCTGGTTTGCTAATGTTAAATTGGTTGATGTCTGAGGAGTACCAAGCACAAGCTTGATGTACAAGAATCATTCACAAACAGTTAACATTAGGGCCCATGGGGATCTCTGTTTCAAAGGAAAAAGAATATTTTACTGGGAAAGACTAAACACTTAGCCAAAACTTACAAATGTGTCATTATGTTAAAAAAAATCTAATTATTTTCTTTAAGGAAACTATCATACATATTTTTTGAAAGAGCAGAATATAAAAGTGGTGCTATTAGTTTCTAGGAGTCAAAAGAGAACAGCTTATTTAATGTAGTTAAGAATGCAGGCCATTAGCCATGTAGCAGTTTTCTAAGGCATGATTTATAAAGTTCGTAGTTTTTATTCTGCCTCATATCAATGGTTTTAGAATATGCTATTAATCTCATCAAGGTGACCAGAATATGCGGAGAAGGCGGTGCACCTGGAGCGTGGGTTTCCGTCTTCCAGCCGTCCTGTGACAGAATGGCAGAGTCTCAGTGTCTGCGGTGTGTGCCTGGCACACGGCCTGCTGGCCTGGACTTGCGGGTGCTCCTTCCTGGGAGTGCTCACCCCTCCAGGCACTGGAGCAGACCCTGTGGCTCCTGAGGAGAAGGGTGTGGATCACAAGTTCACTTCTTGAGGCCATGGAGGGGGAGAGAAACGGTCTCATTTAGTCGGGACATGGGTCTCAAAGCTGGAGCAGCTACATCCATGTGTCCCAGCCTAAGAAAACTCAGTTCCTTCATTCTGGGAATGTGAGCCAGGTGACTCCCACCATGAGATAATGCGCAGGGTACATTTTACATGGGAGAGGAGCTCCTGCCCATCAGTGAAGATGAATGTTCTGGATTCTTTGTTTGTTTTGCTCCATAAATGATAAAATAAATTTCTGGTTCAATTGTAGTCTTTTCAGAGTTTGTAAATGTGAATCATCACTTCTCTTGGGCCTGATTACACTAAAGTGAACTTATTAATCAGAAACTGTGCCCTCCCACCGTTGATACAAAGAAATTCCTCAAAGTTTGGTTATTCTGGGAAATCAGTCCTAATGCCCAGGGAGCCAGTCTGATTTTCTTTTAGCTGTCAAAGATTACATTTTGGTACAAACAATGCCTTTTTGAGATAAAACTGAGTGACCTATCATGATAAAGTGTATTTGGCTATGAACTAACTTTTAATACATATGGTATTGTTATTTTTGTGTCTAGAAAATATAAGGGAGCGTTATGGAACCCTGGCAGGCAAGCTCCACATGATTGAACTGGAGAAAGGGCATAGTGGTTTGGGCCTAAGTCTTGCTGGGAACAAAGACCGAACCCGAATGAGTGTCTTTATCGTGGGGATTGACCCAAACGGAGCAGCGGGAAGAGATGGTCGACTGCAGATCGCAGATGAGCTTCTGGAGGTAAATTCTATGGACAGCTTTCTTGTCTTGCTGTATCAAAGCAATGGGATCTCCAGAATCCAGAAAGTACCCAGACCTCATATGTTGACCGAGACAACTATCACTGGCCTAATAAAATAGATGCATTGCAGCAAATCTGGCTGTAAACCAAATCTGTGCTCTAGAGTCAATGTTCCCATTAACTTCCATTAAAAGGTCATGACTGTATAGCACCAGAAACAATTTTTGCTCCAAGACAGTAATAAAAATCACACTTCAAAAACATTTTTGGGCTGCATTTTTATTAGGAGTTTTGAAATAGTGAAATGACTTGCCATTCCCCAGGCATGACGTTAGCCCCCAGGGCATTCCAGAGGTGGATTCCCCTTGGGATGTAGGCTAGGGGTGAGGCAAGGGGATTTAGGGCTGAATAACAAGTAAAGTAACTCAGCTGCCAAACACAGTTAATTTGTGAACTAAACTTGATAGCACCAAGAATGTATTTGTTCCTGCTGTTTGTCCTTGCTACCTAGAGGCAGCACCCATATCTTGCGATTGCATTTACACTCTGATCTTCCCTGTAGGCTGTGTAGACTCAAACAGCCATGGTGGAATGGCTGGATGGCTGAGCTGGCAGTTTCTGCTGGTGTTGTGGGGCTGAGGCCCTGTCTGCTGCCTGTATTTTGAGTCTCCCTAGCATTGCTTCTCCTAGGGGAGAAGGCGCCTGTTTCCAGGACAGGAATATTGAGACCAAATGGGAAAGGAGAGAGTAGAGGGCTTTCCTGGATGGTCTTCGTAGGTCACAGAGCCATTGCCCTGTTAAGTGAGTGGGAATCCAGTGCCTTTGAGAAAGTTTTCTGTCTGCTCTCCCATGGGTGACCCAAATGAGGCTTCCACCAGCAGTCCCTGGTGTCCAGGTCACGCGCATCATGTAACATTGGCTTTACCCATGGTTTTGTGTACATCAAAGGTCAGGCTATGTTCTAGTGAGGAAAATACAGAGAATATTTTAAAGAAGGAAAAAGGTTTTATTAGCTGGATAGGATGACAGAAGCTTTTGGAATTAAAATTTGGGGCTTAACCAGTGATGCTTAATTTTTACAGATCAATGGTCAAATTTTATATGGAAGAACTCATCAAAATGCCTCATCAATTATCAAATGTGCCCCTTCTAAAGTAAAAATAATTTTTATCAGGTGAGAATTTTCTTTCACTGATTTACCAAAATACTTTTCGTTAACATTTAGTCTCTAGTTCTTTTGCATAAAAAACATTTGTGTTTATATGTGAGTGTTGTAGTTCCAAGTCTTTAGAATTAGAGGCTATTCCCTAATATTTTGACTCTTAAAGTAAGAGTATGGAAATAATATTTGGGGTTGATGCTCTTTTTTTCTTTTAGAAATAAAGATGCATTGAGTCAGATGGCCGTATGTCCTGGAAATACAGTAGAACCTTTGCTTTCCGCCTCAGACAATCTTCAGAATAAAGAGGTATTTGTAATTTATGTTTATTGCTGTGGGAAAATAGGATTGACATATACCCCCTTATAAATTCAGTTAACTATTACAGACCACTTACAGGAATGGCAAAGATAAATGAATTACCACTTTATTGCTAAGAGTTTATAGCATGGTAAAGAAGACACTTGTGTAAATAAGCACCTCTGGTGTGAAGGCTACTGTTAGAGTCTGCATAGGCAGTAGTGAGAGTAGGAAAGGAATTGTCAGTTCTGCCTATGGGGGAGGGGTGAGAATAAGGCTAAATTTAGTAAATAAAACAGACAGGATGTACAAGACTTCCAAGTGTCAGTTGTGATTACCAAAATAGAAAATGTAGAAAAGGAGCAAATGTTACAAAAATATACCTCACTCTTACTGAGATAGCTTAAGAATGAAATGCCTGTTGGGAAGGCTGGTAGAAATACACATTGGGACATTTGGTCTAAAGTCAGAGATCAGTTCTCAGAGAGACTTTTCACTTATTGGTGACGGAGTTGAAGCACAGCCCACAGAGAGCATTTAGGGAGAAGAGCGCTTCTGCTTTCTCATGTAACGTGGACTAGGAGGAAGGCTAAAGAGAGAGGTCAGGGAGGAGGAGAAGAAGCAGGTTATACTGCAGTTAATGAGTGATGTTTCTAAAGGTTGTGTCCTATAGCCTCAGAGGTCTCGGAGACATCCAGTGAGAGGACTGTGGAGATTCCCTGGATGGGCAACTAGCACATTATTGGGAAGCAAGTGACGTATATGAAATTAAGGAGTAATACCACTTCTGGTAGTAGTTTTGATTTTGAAAAGCTTTGGATACATGTGTAAGATGGATAAAAGAGCTGGGTGTGGTGGCACATGTTTGTAATCCAAGCACTAGGACTGCTGAGGCAGGAACATCATAAGTGAGATCCTACTCTGGACAATTTAGCAAAATCATAAATTTAAATAAATAAATTCTACTAGTTACCATTCCCATAACTCAGACACAATACCCCACACCCACAACTTAAAGGGGAAGAGATCCGATTTAGCTCGGAGTTAGGGCTTCAGTAATGGTTGGCTGGTACAAGGTAGGAGCATCATGGTGGAAGGACATGGTGAGCAGAGTCGCTCCATTCATGGTGGCCAGGAAGAAGAGCACAGGGAAACAGCGAGAGGAAAGGAAGGGGCCAAGTCTCTGCGCACCACCCTGACACACTCAGACCTGTGCTTCACCACCCCACGCCCATCATGTGGACAGTGCACTTTCATGGCCACATGAAGTGAAAGGGAGGGAAGTAGTTCAGTGCAGAGGCCAGGGCGACGTGCAGGAAAGAAGGAATGAATGGAATGGAGCAGGAATATAAAATCAGAGGAGCCGTGGTGACCCTCAGTAAGGAAGGCACAGGAACAGAAACACTTTTCTGAGTGCCTGTGAAAACATCTGTCACAAATCATTCTCCCACTGAAATTTCTTCTGATTTTGAACTGAATCACACTGTTATTTAATATGGACAACTTATAAGGCAGAAAATTTTAATTTCCTATTAATCTTACTAAATATGGTCCTTAAGAAAATGGAATGTTTGCCTGTGGCCACAACCACCCTGAATGTGCCCTGAAGATAAGCAGGGTTGGGCCTGGTTAGTACTTGGACAGGAAAATGGAGTACTGTAACGGTTTCAAGTAGAGCATTTAGTGTTTTCAGAATTCACTTGACAGATATACAGAAAGAACAGTGATGGCCCCTGTGATGGCCCCTGTGCCGGTGCTGTGCCACCGTACTTCCTTGAGGTAGCGGGGCTGCTCTTAGGGTCATCGTGGGGTGAATCTAGGCTGCTTTCTGAACTGCTCAGTTGTTCTTGCTCCAGAACAGCTGCTGTCCCGTCATACTTCCTAAGCACTTTATCAGAATGTAGTTCTCATAAATTCATAAGATATTAAAGCAGTACCACTGAATTGTATTGTATGAGATAATTTTGGTTATGTGGGCCTTATAATTAAGCAAATAAGAATACTAACACTAAATTACCCTTTTTGCCACTTCCTTTCTTCTGTCAGGTAGAACCCAGTATTCCTGCTTCTGATCTAGCTGCGGACCTCAGTTCACTTAAAAATGTGCGCCACCTGGAGCTTCCCAAGGTAAGTGTGCTTGGGGCAGCGGGCACACCTCACACCTGCGCTCCCGCTCGCTGCTGCTCATACGTGTGGTCTGCACACCAGCGGCATCAGCCTCACCACAGTCCTGCTAGAAAAGCAGACCCACTCCCTGAAGGGGAAGATTCTGGGACGAGCCCAGGAGTTGGTGTTTTAGTTAAGTCTTTCTGGTGATTTAATGCACAGTAAAATTTGAGAACTACTCGGCTAATCAGTACCTAGCAGGAGCCCACCTTCCTCTGCCTTCATGATTATTTCAGGGTGTGAAATTCACTATCTTGCCTTTGATTCATTTATGGGGCCCTGCTAGGGAAGAAATAAAATAAGAAATAGGAAGTGTAGTCTTGTGTCTCACAAAATAAAAGCTCTGATAACTAGAGGTCTCACTTGGACCATCAGTGAGGTATTTGTTTTGAGAAACTAAACCTTAGGTTCAAATGACTGCTTTAAAGAGGTGGCTTGCTGATCAGAAACCTCTGCCTGCTTTCAGTTGTTCAGGCCACCCTGGGAAGCAGTGAAATCTGTGGCGTGCTGGGGTGGAGCCGAGAGGCGGTGGATGGGAAGAGGAGGATGTTTATGAGGCGCGCTGAGTGGTCCGCCCTGCCGTGTGCAGACAGAGACCGGCCCCAGAGTGTTCTGTCTAGGTGGACTCTCTTCATACGTACAGAACTCACGCACTGTGCAATCTTTCTTTCCTTAGTTTCCTGTCCCATCAGTTAAAGGTCATAATAGTACATATGACAGCAAATTGCAAAGATTAAATGAGTTGCTTATTACTGGCACATTGATTTCTCTTTACAGTAGAAACAGCAGTGCAAAAGTGGATTACTGTAATCCTAGATATCTAAGGGAAGTTTTTATTATGTGTTATTTTGTAATAGAGAAAAAAGGACCCAGGTTATTAAAGCCTTTGCCCCTTCTCCCTAGAAGTCCATACACGTTCATTAGAATTCCTCATTCACCATTAGAGAGACATGAGGCCTGATCCAAAATATAGTCAGTGCTCCTGCCGAGTATCATCTGACAGAAAGGCGGGCTCATAAAAAAACTATAATGTGGGGCCAGGGATTTAGCTCAGTGGCTTTGCCGTCTGCCTTGCAAGCACAACATCCTGAGTTCAATCCCTGATACCAATAAA